GAGGTCCCAGGTCCCGACTTGTGGGGTGGAGGTGAGGTCCCAGGTCCCGACTTGTGGGGTGGAGGTGAGGTCCCAGGTCCTGACTCTTGTGGGATGAAGGCGAGGTCCCAGGTCCCAACTCTGTGAGGTGGAGGTGAGGTCCCAGTTCCTGACTCTGTGGGGTGGAGGTGAGGTCCTAGGATGCAGATGTCCACACTGAGTAGTAGAGGACAGCAAGATTGGCAAGGCTAAGTGGGGAGTGGGGAATGAGAAAGGAGGCTTGGGTCTAGGCTTGGGGGCCAGGTTAAGAGGGCCTTGTAAGCCCTTCTCTGAAGCCAGATTCTTTCCCTGAAGCAGTGGGAACATTGAAAGGATTTAAACAAGAAGGTGGCGTCAAGGTTGAGATTGAGAAGGGTATTAGTTATGATTTGGAGGAGGTAGGGAGGAAGATCATAAACAGAAAGGTCGCAACGTTTCTGCATGAAAAAAAATGAATTTGAACTAAGGCTTTTGTAGTGAGAATGGAGTGGAGAGGATGAGGTAAATTTATAGGATTGGATGGCCAACTGGATGGGGAAGAAATGGTGGGAAAGAAAAGAAAGTAAGAGTTAATGCTGGTTTGGGAGCTTAAGTGCCTAGGTGATATGTAGAGACATTCACTAGGATGAGAAATGTATTAGTTAGCTATTGCTGTATAATAAATAATCTCGGCCCTGTGCAGTGGCTCATGCCTGTAATCCCAGCACTTTGGGAGGCCAAGGCAGGAGGATCACTTGAGGCCAGGAGTTGGAGACCAGCCTGACCAACATGGTGAAACCCTGTCTCTCCTAAAAATAAGCTGGGCATGGTGGTGTGCATTTGTAATCCCAGCTACTCAGGAGGCTCAGGCAGGAGAATCACTTGAACCCAGGAGATAGAGACTGGAGTGAGCCGAGATCACTCCATTGCGCTCCAGCCTGGGCAATAGAGCAAGACCCTGTCTCAAAAAATAAATGAATAAAATAAATAATCTCAAAGTTTAGCAGCTTAAAGCAACAAACATTGATTATTTCCCAGTGTTTGTATCAGGAATTCAAGAGTGGATTAGTTAGATGGTTCTGGCTTAAGGTCTCTTGTTAAGCTGCCATCAAGACATTAGCCAGGGCTGCAGGTGTCTGAAGGCTTGACTTGAGCTGCAGGATCTGCTTCCAAGATGGCTCGTTCACAAGTCTGTTGGCAGAAGGCTTCAGTTCCTTCCTGGGTTTTCACAGGAAGCCTCAGTTCCTTGCCACACGGACTCTCCACAGGGCTGCTTGACCGTCCTTACAACAGGGTAGCTGGTTTCTCCCAGACTGAGAGACCCAAGAGAGAACAAAGCACACAGTGCTTTTCAGGACCTAGCCTTAGAAGTCACCCACCATCCATTCCACCTTATTCTGTTCAGTCCACACTTAAGGGAAGGGAAATTAGGCTCCACCTTTTGAAGCAAGTGTCAAACAATTTATGGACACTTTTCAAAGTCGTCACAAAGAAGGTAGGATGTAGCAGATTTGCGTAGAGGAAGGTGTAGGATTCGGTTTTGAACATGTTCAGTTTGACATCCCTTTGAGCTATCCTGGTTGTGAACTGTAAACTCACTTCCTAAACAAGTATATGCCCCTCTCCAATGTGAGATTGTGCCATCTAATTTAATCTTCTCCACAACAAATAAATCTATTGATAGAGCTTAAGGTTATAGGAAAAATATTAAAAGAAGCTGGCAGATAGTCTGCAGGCAAGAGGTAGACTTCTCCATGCATCCATCATTCACGGCCAAGGCGTTAATTATTCTCTGAAAAGCAAAGAAGTTGAAATGATAAAAATATAGGCTTTCCTTCTATTCTTGCTCAGCATTCCTCAAATTTTCATGTTTATAAGTCTCACTGTAAAAAGAAAAAAAAATTGATATACAAAACCATGTACACTGTATTCAGGGAACAATTCAAGAAAATGTTTGAGGATCATTGAGCTACAAGTGATTTTTTTTGCTCCCTGCAGAATTTTAGAATCTGACCCTGGGTAAGGAGGCTGCGTTGTGTCCCTCCCCTCTGAGAACCTGAGAATGTTTCGCTGTGGTGTGTGCAGTTTTGCACCTTCCCTAAAGAAGGTGGTGTCTGGGCGAGTGCTCGGCGCCTATCTTCCTACTGTGTGCAGTCAGTTTTCTTTTCCAGCTCTCACCTCCCTCCTTCATCTCTCTTCAGCTGGCTGGCTTCTAAGATGCTTCTCCCTGCCTGGCCACAGTGCTTACCTATTCTAGGATGAGAGAGGCCCAGCTGGGTTAGCGAACTGTTGCTAAGAGCCTTCCTTATTTCATGGGCTTGACCCTAGCTTCATATTGTGGCATCTCCTGTCTTGGGGTCAGCTTGATTAGGCAAAGTGTGAAACTCAGTGCTGCTTCAGTCTCACCTCCTACTTTGAGTTACTGGATAAGTACTCTGTGGTTCACGGGGTGTCATGTACTGCTGGCTTAATGAAGCAGCCTACTTTATCAGACAAGAACCCTCACGTGGCAGTCCTCCAGCCTGTGGGCTAATTGATATTCTTAACGAGGGAAGGCAAGCACCTCATGAAAGGTTTTATTTGTGTTTTCTTTTTTCTTTTTATCTCTGTTTCTAGAGACAGCAACCTTATCAGTCCAGCAGATCTTACTAGACTAGAAGGAAGCCAGGAGAGTTTTAAGGAACTGTGACACAAGGGTATTTCTCTTTATGTAACCATTTCCCCAAAATATATCAGCATAAGCGTCAGCATTTTTCTAAAGAACAATGAACCCCACGTCATGACCTGCTACTTTACTTTTTATGGAGGTATATGTTTTAGTGGCCAATCTTGTAAAAGTGGTTATTCCTGAAAAGGGGTGCCACCTGCTGCTGGATATCTGTGTCTGTCAGGAAACATTACCATCTAGAAATGCTATTGGTATGTGTGTGTCAGCTCTTGGCTCACTGCTCATTTCCTGTTGAAAAGAACCTAATCTCAGGCAAAGCTAATCCTACAACAACAGTCAAATCCCTCCAGATTCAGATATGTTGAAAAAATACAAAATGCAGAATGGGCTTCATTTTGTACCTGTTCTAAAGGCAAGAAGGTGCATTTATGTCCAAAAGTTCTGCATTTGTTGTCCTTCATTCTCTGTCACATACTGCAATTAGCCTTCCATATGAAGAAGTGTAAGTATCAGAAACACACAACCTACAAATATGCGTGGGCTCCATTCTCAAATTGGAGAATTCCATTTCTGTCACCATTCTTTCTCCACTTGGTGGTATTCAGGATCATTAGAGAAGGTGCACAGACGTAGCATAAATAGCATCAAATCACCTAAGAGCATGTTTCTTTTCATAACTTCCTAGGCTGAGTTGAATGCTTAGCTAATTCACTTCATCTTATTTCCTAAAATCTGAACTTGAGGCTATTCATTTTCCTCTAGAAACTACTTTAGCTGCTATCACAAGTTTGGATGTGCAGGGCTTTATTGTTTGCTTACTTACACGTGTGTTTTTCAGTCTCCGAACTGTGATTGGAGACTTTTTGTGATTGATAACTAGAAGTATGGCCCTGAAGTCAGAGAATATAGTACATGTGATGTTGAATTTTGGTATTTTATGAGACATCATGTATGGTAAGTTTTGGTGAGTTCAAAAAAAGAAAAAACTGTGTTTTTATTGACTGCAGATCTCTCCATTAGACCAAGCTATATTACTGCATTGTTCAGATCGGCCATAGTCTTATATATGTCTTTTCAAATTAATTTATAAATTCTTGAGAGGTATGTTCAGATTTTCCCCCATGAAATTTATTTTGCCTAATCATTTATTTTCAATTTGTGTTTTACATATTTTGAGGCTATGTTGTTAAGAACACATTGGCTGTCAATTATTATATCTTCTGAAAAATTATTCCTTGTATCACTAAATAATAACTTTCTTTAGCCTTAATAATGCCTTTTCTGAAGTCTGTTTTGTTGGGCATTAATACTGTAATGCTGGCCAGGTGCCGTGGCTCATGTCTGTAATCCCAGCACTTTGGGAGGCTGAGGCAGGCAGATCACCTGAAGTCAGGAGTTTGAGACCAGGCTGGCCAACGTGGCAAAACCCCATCTCTACTAAAAATACAAAACTTAGCTGTGCATGGTGGCAGGTACCTGTAATCCTAGCTACTTGGGAGGCTGAGGCAGGAGAATCACTTGAACCCAAGAGGTGGAGGTTATAGTGAGCCGAGATTGCACCACTGCACTCCAGCCTGGACGACTGTCCCACAAAATACTAATGATAATGATAAATAATAATAATATTGTAATGCTTTCTTGTGTTTAGTATTTTTCTGTTTTTTAAAAATACCACTTGCTTGTCAACACTTCTGCGTTATTATGTTTTAGATGTTTCTTTTTTAAGCAGAATGGCTATGCAGGGCTTGGTGACATTACCTGCTGTGACAACCCCAAATCTCAGTGGTTTAACACAACAAAGGTTTAGACATCATTCTTTAATCATTATGGCCTCTTTCATGTTTTTCTATTTTTTTAGTACTTTTATTGCTAATTTTTCTATTTATTGCATCTCCTGGAAATCCCTCAAAGTATTTTTCCCAAGTGTAGTTTATAGGGTTTTTTGATGTGAGCTCATCTTTCAGAGATTTTTTTTCTTGCTCCTAATTGGATTTCCAGTGAAACTTGCTTGTAGAAGTAAGCACTACCAAGTGGTTTCACATGTGATTCTTTTTTTTTTTTTTTTTTTTGAGACAGCGTCTTGCTCTGTTGCCCAGGCTGGAGTTCAGTGACGCAGTCTCAGCTCTCTGCAACCTCCGCCTCCCGGGTTCAAGCAATTCTTCTGCCTCAGCCTCCCGAGTAGCTGGGATTACAGGCATGCGCCACCACACCCGGCTAATTTTTGTATTTTTAGTAGAGATAGGGTTTCACCATCTTGGCCAGGCTGGCCTTGAACTCCTGACCTCATGATCCACCTGCCTCGGCTTCCCAAAGTGGTGGGATTACAGGCGTGAGCCACCGCGCCTGGCCCACATATGATTCTTTTGGAACCCTAGGGTCCTAGGTGTTCAGTGATCCTAGATGAATTTTCATCTTAATTTCTTGATTCCTTTCTACATCATTCAGGTAATATAAATTGAGACATGAGCAGTCCACAACTAGTGTCTCCAGCTCCTACTGGTTGCTTTTTATTTTCTACCCAAGATTCAAGTAGACTATGCTTTCCAAGGCCAGAGGAGAGAGGTTTTTTTTTTTCCATCCCCTTTTTGTTAAGGGGAAAGTTCCTGAAGGTCCAGAGCCCTGTATAGAAGTTCAGGTCTAGGCCTTTCTTACATCACCAGGAGGTCCCTCGTGCTGTGATACCCTAAGCCCTGTGTCCAGTGCAAGAACCCTGTGTGCTAGCTTTTTATCAGCCTTCTATAATAACTCTTTATTTCTGGCACCTGCGGACTTAATCTTATTTTTTTTAAGCTTGGAAATGTATTATTAGTTTTGGGGTATGCTATTTCATATAGCATTTCTTGTATTTTTAATGATACATGGCTTTACACCTTGTAAGACTTAGCCAACACTTCCTAACATCTCTTTTTTAGCAAAGAGGAAAAACCCCTGAGTGAGATTCCAGGGATTTCTAACTTAAATTTAACAGTATTATCTTATTATTATTATATTTATTTTTTTCTATATATAAGTTATTTATTTTATGTAACTTAAATCACTCACCGTTTATTTTACCTGAGTGATTTAAGTTTACATATAATGGTTGAGTATCCCTAGTCCGAAATCTAAAATGCTCCAAAATTCAAGTTCTTTAGTGCTGACACAACACTCAGAGGAAATGCTCACTGGAGCATTTCAGATTTCAGATCTTCAGAGCAGGGATTCTCAACTATAGTATATAATGCAAATATTCCAAAATCCAAAAAAGTCAGAAAGTGTAAATATTTCTGGTCCCAAGCATTTTGGATAAGGGATACTCAACCTGTACACTAGCGATACAAACATTCCTCTCAAAATAACCTTAATAAAATAAGTCTACTAAAGAAAATGTTAAGTAAATTGGCAAGTGATAAAAGGCTATGACAAAAACCCTAAAGGTGATATATTAATACTCCATCTTACAGAATACTTAAAAGCATTCCATGTCTTTTCAAGCTTTTTGTTCCTGTTTATTAAAGCATGCTTTGATGTTTTAGCAATCCAGACGTGAAGATATTTACTGTCAATATGAATCTGGGCTAAGAATGTGGAAAATTGGTTACCCAAATCAGGAAACAAAATTTTGAGCATAGCATAAGTCAAATATTCGCTTTGAAACCATAAAGGCCAGCTATATAGTAAGAATGGGCTAGATTGTAATGTGGTAACAAATAACTACAATATCACAGGGCAAAACACAACAAAACTTCATTTCTTGTTTACATTTCCAACAAGCTTTCGTTGAGGCCTCTGCTCATCAGAGGTACTCGGGACACCGCCTGGCCGAGCCCCTCCACAGCTAATAAGGTGGGAAGAGGATGTGGCTCCTCACATGCTTGCTCCTAAGCCTTCTGCTCAGAAGGAACATCTCTCCCTTCGACTCTGTCTTCATTAGCCAAAGCAAGTCATGTGGCGCATGTCATAACACGTTGATCTTCTAACACACATGGTGTTAATGTCACAGTACCATCCAGCAAAGAAACCATGAAGCAGTTTTAATACATCCTCTAGATGGAGACATGTAGCTATTTCAGCCATAGTACAGTCAGACTTCTGCTAACCCCTTGGTTAGCTCCAGTCTGTATAAAGAAACTCAAAATGAAGTAGAGGCTACAGATAGATAAAGTAAAATACAGACCTTTACAATGGACTGGTTTGTTACCCAACAGATCCTGAGAGGCTTCAGTATTGATCATAAAACTGCTGTCCTGCTTAATCACCAACTGCTCAGTTTGGCCACTTCATTTCTGCAAATGTTTATGGGCTTAATGTATGAATGTGGTTGAAGTATTTACAAAGAGCGTGACTTGGGTTTCTCTTAGATTTGCTTTTAGGCTATTCTGGCTCAGCTTTCCCTCAGTCCCAGGGGTTTTCTAACATGTCCCTATAGCCTTCTTTTTTGGGGGTGGAGGGGACGGAGTTTCACTCTTGTTGCCCAGACTGGAGTGCAATGGCGCGATCTCAGCTCACCGCAACCTCCGCCTCCCGGGCTCAAGCAATTGTCCTGCCTCAGCCTCCCGAGTAGCTGGGATTACAGGCATGCACCACCACGCCCGGCTGATTTTATATTTTTAGTAGAGATGGAGTTTCTCCATCTTGGTCAGGCTGTTCTTGAACTTCCAATATCAGGTGACCCGCCCACCTCAGCCTCCCAAAGTGCTGGGATTACAGGCGTGAGCCACCACGCCCGGCCTAGCCTTCTTTAATATCCATGAGTTTGTGTGAATCTCTCTCCTTGGGTCATCGGTTGATCACAGCCTTCAGCATTTTTCTTCCCCTAGTGCATGCTAACATGGGGGGAAGAAATCTGTGCCTTCTTTACAGGGTCTCTGCTTTGTGTTGAAAAGGAGCACTTAGAGGCAAAGACTCTATTTTCTAACATCAATGAGTTGAGGAGCATTTCTAGGCTCTGTGGAGATTTGTGCAGTAATAAGATTATATTTTATCTGGGCCAATGCCCAAATTATAGTGACCTTTAATTTGATTTGTCCAACCATGACACGTACTTAAATTAAACCACTGCTCCTGGTACTATGTTTTAAGTGGAGGGTATGTAATACCTTAAACTCAGACAGTGCTTTATGACTTACAGAGTACTTTTATTTGTACTGTATTTATTCTCCACAGTCACTATGATGTTGGGTATTATCCCCTTTTAAAATCACAGAAATGGTCAACTAATCTTCTCAGAGTTAATCAGTTTGTCGATACTGGCAGCAGAACCACAGCTCAGAACTAAGACCTCATATCCAGGAAGGACTCCTGCAATTATTCCATGATGTTGCCCATAATTCACAATTTTAAAAAAATCTATTAAACTTAAGCTGATCCTATCTATTTTACAACCATCGTATTTAGTTTGAGGCCAAGGCCCACATCCTGCGTGCTCTGTCAGGCAGATAGAAATCTGATGTCTTAATTTGTGTTCAAGGTTGACTCTTAGGCAGATAACTAGAAAAATAATGTACATGTGCATTTAGAATATTTCAGGCTTGATAATTCAATCCAACACAGTCAGTGGTAGAACTAAGATTTAAATCCAGCAGCTCTTAATAGCAGCATTTTGCTACTTGACAGGTACGAGAGGTTTGATGTCAAGGAGAACACACAGAATGACAAAGATCATTGTAAGGAATTCCAAAAACTGCAGGATCATGGGATACCCAGATATCCATCCCTCTAGGTCCTAGGACTTTCAAAACTGGAGCCTGGTGCAGATCTTCTCTTTGCATACCTCCCCAACCTTTGTTGCTGAATAACATAGTTTGATTCCACCTATCATAGTATATCTCTGTTTGGCACAGGTTATCTTGTTCCTGCTGATACATTATTGTCTGTCTTACATGCCAACCTCTTGCACGCTCTTTTGCTACCAGGGCACAGGTCTAGTTTTAGAGAACACACAGGGTCAAAGCCACAGAAAGAATGTAGACAAAGAAACTCCCTGATGCTGAGCTTTTGAAGGGGTCTCAGGAGTTGGTGGGTAAGTACACAGGCACTTACCTCTATCCAGGGGAGCAGCACTGAGTTCTTGGAGGTAGTGGTCATTGTATCAACTCCATCATTCCAACTCCACCACTGGAATGAGACAGGTCTGGCTTGTTCCTCTGTATCCTCGGCACATAGTAGACACTCAATAGATATTTGTTGAATAAATGAAGCAAATGCAGTAATCACTAAGGGTGCAGATTCTTTTCTTTCATCATAGTGCTTTATTGACAGTAGGGGATTTGACTTGCATCCTGAAGAAGTAGATTGAACTCCAAAGGTTTGGTAGATCCAGCGTTACATAGAGCAAAGAGAGGGAGAAGGGAAATAAATTAAGAACTTTAACATAAAGGTTTATCATGTTTAAAATTAGGTTAGTGCCCACATCATAAGGATTCGCCCTAGGTGAATGAAATTATGTGAAATTCACCAAGAAGAAAAATATATTATGGTAAATGGGTACTTACTGAACGAAGGTCCAAGGATGAAAATAAATCAAGAGAAATGTATCGTGAACAGTGGTCAGCTTCTTAGAAGAGCATATAGATTCATCACAATTGTCTTCGGTATTTCCTATTTCCCTACACTTTTCTTACCAAATGTGCTAATACACATGGTCGTGGGCTCAGCACTGATTAGAAAAAAGAGGTGGGAAGTCATGACCAGAGCCATCTTCACCAACATATATTCACAGTGACTCTTTAAATATTCAAAAAAGGAAGAAAAATAACATCAGTCTATGCCTGCTCAGGAGTGTCAGGCACTTTACTTTTGTAGCTTAATCTTTAAACAACCTGGTGAAGTAGGTGGTATATCCCTAGTTTACAAATGAAAACTGAGATCAACAGAATATGCTCTCTCTCCCTCTGTCCATGGGAATTTAATTAAAATACTCAAATTTACAGAGTGAGAGATGTATACAAAGCACATATAATGACCCTGTTGTTAAATATAAATAAAAATATATATATATATATATATTTTTTCCTATTTCTGAGTTTCCCACTTGGTGTGTGTTTACTTAAGTGAGCTAGTAGAAGTGACCTGATGTATGCAAGTGAAATTGGTGTCCATTGTTCTCATTTACCATAACTGCAGAAAGTCTTTAATTTAGGACCACTTACAGTGGATTCAGTTCCCATCTGTGGTTTATTTTAAGTGAGTTGAAAATGTTATCCTGGACTCTCTGGGTTTCCTCTTCAAAAGAAATGAAGTCCTACACAATTGTTGATGCGCTTTGCTTTGCTTTTTTTGCAGACTACTGTCAGAGGATGTAGGAATGGACATCCCGTTTGAAGAGGGGGTGCTGAGTCCCAGTGCTGCAGACATGAGGCCTGGTGAGAGCAGCATTTGTTCATTTCCTTTGTTGGTATTCTGTATCCCAACGTTTTCATTATTCAGTGAAAGAATTATTTCCTGTGCATCTAACGTATGATTTCAGTGATAGCAGTGAGAGGAAAAAAAGAAATGTGTGATATGAAGGTGTTAGGTTGCATTCGGTTAATTTAAGAGGTGGCTTGAATATTGATGCTCGCTAGTGTGGGCTGCATTTTATCTCCTAGACCACAGCCTTATCTGCTAATGTTTTCAGTTCCTGTAATAATTGGCTACTGTATATTGTACCAAATTCTGACTAATGTCTAAGTTCCCCACATTTACACGTAATTGTAAGAAAGTTTAAAATTGGAAATGTGGTATCAAGAATGCTCAATATCCTAACTATCAAAACCAAAACCAAGACAACAACAACAAAAAACAACCATCCTACATCTTAGGAGTTTACAACCCAAGGCATACACAAAAAGCAATTTAATTTTTCAGTTGCAACTTATATGACTCTCTCTGTGTTCCAGGGTCACTCTCTTATATTACACCAACTCCAGGATCATACCAAGATCCTGAATCATGTATTCTCAGCCAAGCCTACAGTGTGGTGGGAAGAGGGAAGGCAATTACATTTGTTTTCTGTTGTAGTATTTGAAATGCATTCTTCAAAATACTAGTCATGTAACAGATTTCTAAATGTTCTATGGCCAAATATGCTTGGTAACCACAGTATGCTTATTTGAATCTTCCAAGTTCACAATGTACTTTTGAATGATAAAGGCACTGAGGCTATGGTTATCTGATATGGTAAGCAGCTAGTCACATGTGGCTATTTAAATTAATTAAAATTAAAAATAGTTGTTTAAAATGCTCTTCTTCAGTTGCACTAGCCTCATTTCAAGTGCTCAATAGCCACATACAGAACCTTTTCATCATCACAAAGAATTCTTTGGGACATCACTGTTGTGCAAATTCCTGAAATATAGAAACTCAGTGTGGAAATTTACTTGTCAATAGAAACTTTTTTCAAGTAATACATAAAACCATTACCTGGAACAGAGTTTGGGTGATGTTCCATTCAGAAAAGAAAAAGCTTAATGACAAGGAAACAGTGCCAGTTTCTCTAGGACAAGGCCGGAGTCAGAATTCCGGAGTTGAAGGGTATACCAAATGGTCTTCAAAATACTTCGTGCTTGGGAATCCTGTCATTTCTGGTTTTAGGTGAAGGCAACAAACTGTATTGTCCTACTCTGCTCTCAAACTGAACACTTCTGTGACCGGATGTGTAGGGTTCTGTTTTGTTTTGTTTTGTTTTGTTTGTTTTGTTTTTGCCACACACCAAGCAGTTTTCTAATGAACACCAACTGGGTATCCTATAATTCAGTTCTGACACTATCCACCTTAGGAAATGACAAGGGTTTTAAGACCTCTGTGCCTGGAACCAGGGCCAAAGACCAAAATATATTTCTTATTATACTACAGTAGGGTATCTCTCTACCTTTGTTTTGTTAGCTTAAGCTTGGTTAAAAATGACTTCTCCAGCTCTGCTTCTATTAAATGAAAGGCAGCTGAGCAGCAAGACACATACTACAATGAAAGGAGGGAGCCTACACATAAGATTATCACTTACATTATAGGAACCAATGTCAAGTGAGATTGGCATAAGAGCTGGTGACTGCTTGGGTGAGCTCCAAGAATGTTACCTGGGAGGATACTTCAGCCAGGTAAAGGGCAGTGACGATCATATACAGAGTTGTCAGGACCTAAAAGAAGTATTTTGGGAGTGTCTGTGAACATGACAAAGTTCTTAACCTACATTCCATAGGAGTAAAGTCAACACAAACCATTAGAAAATAGAGTTGACCCTCTGTATCCATGGTTCCAAATCCATGGATTCAACCAACCACAGAAGAAAAATATTTAAAGAAAAAAAATCGCATTTGTACTGAACATGTACAAACTTTTTTTCCTGGTCATTGTTTCTAGACAACAGAGTGCAACAGCTATTTACTTTGTATTAGGTGTTATTCTAGAGATGATTTAAAGTATACAGAAGGATGTGCATGGGTTATATGTCAACACTACACCATTTTATATCAGGGACTTGAGCATCTGTACATTTTGGTTTCCACCAGGGGTCCTGGAATCAATCCCTTATGGATATCAAGGGACAACTGTATATGTAAGCTTAACTGTTTTTCGTATGCAATATACCCCGTGAAAATTTAATTCAATTATTATAGCAATTTCAAGTTTTCAAACTTGAACAGGGAAATTCTAAAAACTAGTTACCTACCCATTTAGCAGTAGCTCCTACTTCCTGTTTCTACATGGCCAAGGCTGAGGGGGTTGGGAGGATCCAGTTACTGAGGGCTGCTTTCAAGAAGGGTTTCTAAATCTCATACCAAGATTTCTATCAGGTCTGCTTTTGCTAAAAGGACTTGAAAAATGTTTTCCACTGGGCCCAAACCCCCTCTTGGCAGCCACGTATAGGTTAAGTATCCCTTACTTAAATGCTTGGACCAGAGTGTTTCAGATTTTGGATTTTTTCAGATTTTGGAATATTTGGATTATACTTACTGGTTGAACATCCCAAATTCAAAATTCTGAAATCCAAAATGCTCCGGTGAGTATTTCCTTGACACATCATGTTGGCACTCAAAAAGTTTCAGATTTTGGAGCATTTGGGATTTTGAAATTTTGGATTTAGATTGCTCCTCTGGTTTAATACTTGATGTTGCTGTTCTCTTTCTTCTTTAGAACCTCCTAATTCTCTGGATCTTAATGGCACTCATCCTCGGAGAATCAAGCTCACAGCCCCAAATATCAATCTTTCTCTGGACCAAAGTGAAGGATCTATTCTCTCTGATGATAACTTAGACAGTCCAGATGAAATTGACATCAATGTGGATGAACTTGATACCCCCGATGAAGCAGATTCTTTTGAGTACACTGGCCATGGTAAGTCACTAAGTTGGCAAGGCCAAAGTTAAATGCTAAATAAGTAAAAGATTTTCTAACAGACCTCTCATTTTTGTGCCAGTGGATCCTTTTTGTGATTTCTAGAAGCTTCTGTTTTTACTTCAGGTCATAGGTGACCATGATTGACAGTTTGGAGCTTGACAGAGAACGTGTGGTTCACAGAGGTCCTACAAAACCATTGCTCTTTATTCACCCCTACTCTGTGCTAGCATTTATGCTAGGCACGGGGGCTGAGGGAAGACTGTTACATGCTGTGTTGTAAGAAACCCGGGGCTGGGTTTGCAGAGGAAGAGAATTTAATCCGGACGATAAAATTTGAAGAAGAGAAATCAGAGCTTGACAATTTCTTATATAAGTTCCCACTATCTGCAAAGTTCTGTTCCCCAGATCCTTACATGACTGACTCCTTCTCTTTATTCAGATGTTAATCAGATGTCACCTCCTCAGAGAGGTCTTCCTTGACCTCTGAAATCAAAGGTGCATCCACTTCCCTGCTCCCACTACCTAGTCACTCTCTGTCCCCATATTCATTGTATTTTCCATGTATCACTAATTCAAATTGTATTATTTAACTATTTGTTTGCATCTTTCTGTCTTTCTCTTACCCCTCGAATCTATGCTCCATGAGAGCAAGGACTGATCCTGCATCTCCAATAAAGTAGGAAGGAAGAAGGGATGGTTTAGGGGGAGTGGGAGAAATGATAAAAAGGAAGACAATTAAAAGTTGTCAGATCATCCAAGACTCACACTCCTGATATGAACATCAGTCTTTAGTTCTTTCTCTTGCTCTATGAAATTTGGTTTAAGAAATATGTAGAAATACAAAACATTTGCTTTTTTTTTTTTTTTAATGGCATTATATAGTTTCTGTTTCAGTACTAGCCAGGGTGGAATTCTCCGAAGTTACAGTGTTTGAAAGTGAAACCGAGTGAGTCTGGGACACAGATATTGCTTTTATTCATTTTAAGAATTCATGCAATCTCAAAAGTAATACGGTGCCACAATTAAGTGATGGCTTGACTTTTAGAGATATGCTAATTCTATCTGTTCCACTTCTGAAGGGAGTAATTAGAAAAGTCACCAAATTAGCTCATTATTTCAACCAATGGTCATTGAGCTGACGTAAGCAGTGCAGTTCAGAGTCTACCTTGACAGAGCTTAAGGCTTTATTTCCTCAAAAAGGAAATGGCTAAACGACTTGTTTTATAGTCTATTATGCTTAAGTAGAGATTTTTTTTTTCCATAAGTTTTTGGGGTCCAGGTGATATTTGGTTACATGCTTAAGTTCTTTAGTGTAAGTAGAGATTTTATATTGCATTTTTATCATGTGTGAATTTCTGTAGTTATCTGGGTAGTTGATTCTGTAGGTTGAAATACACAAATAGGAGGTGAAAGAAGGTCTGGAATTTGTATTATTTCCTGTCATCCCAGAGAGTCTTCAGCAGCTCCTCTGTCCATCCCAGTTGCCCCTACCAGCTCCCACTCTTTTCCTGCTAATATAGTGACAAAATCCCACAGAAGACTGTGGCATGATCCTACCGGCCCCTCCCTCGCCTCCGTATTTGCTTCTCTGTTGCCAGGAGAACTTTGTCACACCACATCTGAACCTTTTATTTTTATACATAGTAAAACTGTCAAGCAAAGCACTGGTGGCTGAGCAAGCTGGTAATTAACACTGCCACTTGCTGACATGGCTCTCTTAATGTAGTTGACATAGCTGTGTTGAAAGAACCAGTTTAATGGCCACAACCCTGCTTTTAGGTCTTAAATGCAAAGGACAGAATTGTAAAGTAAGTTGAATTTTTAAATCTACCCTAATTTTCAAATGAAAAGTATATGGTCAGAGGTTTTAAACAAAAACATGAAACTTTGAAAACACAAAGTGCGCCTGAATAGCTATATTTTGTAAACATGAGGACACGGATAAGTGACTGTATAAGAAGGTTAGATTATAAATATGTTTTAGTTCTGAAGTATGAAATAAATGCTTGAAGGCAGCCTGTTTCTTAGGTTTCTCGTGGCAGCATTTTGAACCAGGCATATACATTCTAAACAAAATAGGGGTTTTTAAGGTATAGTTTTTCAAAAACATTTGGGCCATAATTTATTTTCTTTTAATGAATACTTTTTCATTTATGTTATATTTTTCATGTATAGATTTTCATTATATATTTTTCATTATATATTATATATTTTTACTATATATTTTTCATTTATATATTTTTCTATATTATATACCTCATTATATTATATATTTCATTATCTAGTTTTCATTTATTTCATTTTATAGATGAGAACACTGAAGCACAGAGAAGTTAAGTAATTTGCCTAAGGTCACACAGCTCATTGTTGCCCTTAGCTCCTGGCCCATGCTGCTTCCCAGTGAATATGCTAACAATGAATGGAAAAAGGTCTGTTACTAGATTGGGCTTACATACGTGAAGTCAAAGGTGATAGCTCTTGCTCACCTTTAGGCCTCTTTTTATCCAGTTTTCCTGACTTGGGGACTCTTAAAAAAAAAAAAAAAAAAAAAAACAGTAAGAGTTACTGTACCAAATGCCTGAAGGTTTTTCAGGCCTTTACCTGTTTTATTCAGTAGCTGATGACCAAATGCGTCTGCCAGGGTTTTTGCTTACAATGCAATTTTGCTTGTGGAAAATTTGTGAAGCTCACTGTCAAATATATTCAACTGGTCCTCCCTTTCAAGCAGTTTTCTTTAACAGTTGTGTCCAAAGTGTTGGGACATGTAAGTTAAGGTACTGTGAAATAATTAAGGTTTGATGTCCTTTCGTATTTACAAAGTACCAAAAATATCAAAAACACGTAGATAATGATGGACTTGGGAGGTCATTCTTTCATATTAAGAAAGATCTGAGTTTTTTCTTTTTTAATACTTTAGTTTACTAATCCTAGAAACTTATATCCAAAGGTCAGGAAAAATAATAACTCATTTCTGTTTCCCAAACCAACAACAAAGTTATTTTTACCACCATTCAGATCTTCAGAAAGATATTTTGTAAGGGAAGTGGAAAAATGAAAAATTTTAGACAACATTTCTGATAAGAATGTTATAAGAAATCCTTATGTGCTCTTATATTTTTCCTTCTTAGGCTCCCAAGTGATGGTTAGTGACCTCTTCTGAAAGATCTTTTTAAATATTAGCCCCTAAAGGCAGTTTTCTGTTTTCATAAGGCACCCCAACATCATTTCCAGATAATCAGGGTGTCACTTCATTGAACTTCCCCATCCATGATTTTCCACTATTTTCAGTCTACAGGCAACCAGCTTATAAAATCAATTTTCCATTTTAACTGTCTATATAAATTAATCAAGTGCTAAGTTTATTTTGTTTTATCTGTAAGCAGCCTTATGCCATAATAGTGTTGTCTGAAAGGAGGATTTTTCATTGTATTTTGTATGCTAATATTTTTCTCTCAAATTAACTGCCTGCTTGCTGTTTGTCACCAAAATATTCTAAAGACTTTTTAACAGTATATAGGATATCTTTCCTATAACCAGAAAAGCCTCTAGGAGTACTCACATTAACAAGTGCAAGATTGTGATACAGAAAGCTGTCACAAATGCATGTGCCTCCTGGAAGGCCACAGCTGACATCATCATTAGTTAGTCCATAATGAACACCAACAATGCACCCCCCCACTGTAGTCTGTGTAGCACAAACCATTCAGGAGCTTGTGTGCTATATCATCTCAAAAAGACACGAGCAAATGTTCAAGTTGACTTCTCCCCTATGTACAAGGTTTTGATAGACTCCAACAGTCACTGGGAAGAAAAGCTCATTGTTGAGAAAAGGAGACAAAAAACCAAGTATTTCTTAGTGAAGAAGCATGAGACCAAAAATTAAATTGGGGGAACATCAGGATAGAGAGTTAAATGAGACCTGAATATTTTTGCCAACAGTGGGAAAATGAAGGCTGTGGAGAGGATGGTAATTTATAGTTAGAACAAAAGAATTATGAAGGTCAGGAGGGTTTTGCTAACTCCAGAAAGTCGGTAAAGCTATCTTTCCTTCTTACTAACTTGTATTGTTGACTTCTAGAAATGAACAACTTAAGAAAACTTAATGTAGCCCTAGCTCTTAGATAACTTTTTTCCCTATTTACATCAGCCAGAAGAGGAAGGGAAGGAGGAACAGTAGCAACTTGCCGGCTTCCACTCCCTGAAACGTTAGGCATTACACCCCATAAAAACGTTCAGCCCTGGACTTTTACACCAAAACGAGTAATAATGCTATCTTTATAGTAAAAATGCTGATAGGAGTGCATGTGTGTACACATACATACTTTTAACGTAGAGATGCCCTTTCTTACTATGATACCATAATCAAAAACCATGAAAAAAAAGTTAACAGACTCAACTACATAAAAATATTAAATTTATATTTGGCAGGAAAAGATAGATATTAGTTTAAAAGCTAAGCATGGGGTAAGCACAAGGCAAAAAAAAAAAAAAAATTGCAACATATAACAAAGTTCTGTACAAAAATTCCAACTAGGTTACAGTGAGCTGAATCACACCACTGCACTCCAGCCTGGGCGACTGAGCAAGACTCCATCTCCAGAAACAAAACAAAACAAACAAACAAAAACCTCAAACTAGTTCATAAGGACCACAATAGGAAAGGGGCTTAAAAGGTACCTCCTTGTCTGTAAGAGAGATATAAATAGCCAATAAACAGTGAAAAGTGTTTACCTTCTTTAATAATTAAAGAAATTCAAATTAAAACAATGTGATAATTTCCCCTTAAATTGTCAAGGGTTGAAAACTTTGATAGCCTATCATGTTCTTGGCAATGGGGGAAATCCAGCCCTCTCATATATTGTGGTATAGCATATTCAAGAGCAAAAACGTCCCCAAGACTTGACGTGGTTATACCCGCTGACCCAGCACTTCATTGCTAGAAAGTTCTGCTATAGCAATACGTGTACAAATAAGGTAAGACTCCTTCATGCAGATGCTTACTGAAGCAAATTCTTTATAAAGAAACAACAAAAAGAAATAAAACTATATTTCATCACCATGGGATTAGTAAACTACAAGACATCAGCAAAATGGAATACTTGAGGGCTACTCTTAAAAATTTTCTAACCGTTGAGTTTGTGTGTGTGTGTGTGTGTGTGTGTGTGTGTGTGTGTTTTGAGACAGAGTCTTGTGCTGCTGCCAGGCTGGAGTGCAGTGACGTAATCTTGGCTCACTGCAACCTCTGCCTCCTGGGTTCAAGCGATTCCCCTGCCTCAGCCTCCCAAGTAGCTGGGATTACAGATGTGCGCCACCATGCCCAGCTAATGTTTTGTATTTTAGTAGAAATGGGGTTTCACCATGTTGGCCAGGATGGTCTTGATCTCCTGACCTCGTGATCCACCCATCTCAGCCTCCTAAAGTGCTGGGATTACAGGCGTGAGCCACCATGCCCGGCCTTATTGTTGAGTATTAAGCATTCTTTGTATATTTTGGATAACAGTCCTCATCAGATATGTGTTTTGCAAATATTTTCTCCCAGTCTGCAGCTTATCTTCTTATTCTCATTCTCTTGATTTTTCTTTTATATAGAAGTTTTGGCCGGGCGCGGTGGCTCAAGCCTGTAATCCCAGCACTTTGGGAGGCCGAGACGGGCGGATCACGAGGTCAGGAGATCGAGACCATCCTGGCGAACACGGTGAAACCCCGTCTCTACTAAAAAATACAAAAAAACTAGCCGGGCGAGGTGGCGGGCGCCTGTAGTCCCAGCTACTCGGGAGGCTGAGGCAGGAGAATGGCGTAAACCCGGGAGGCCGAGCTTGCAGTGAGCCGAGATCGCGCCACTGCACTCCAGCCTGGGCGACAGAGCCAGACTCCGTCTCAAAAAAAAAAAAAAAAAAAAAAAGAAGTTTTAATTTTAATGAAGTCCACCTTATCAATTATTTCTTTCATGGATCATGCCTTTGGTGTTGTATCTAAAAAGTCATCTTTGCACCCAAGGCCAATTACATTTTCTCTTCTAAAAGTTTTATAGTTTTGAATTTTACATTTAGGTCTATGATCCATTTTGAATTAACTTTTGTGAAGGATCAAAGACCTGGGTCCAGATTCATTATTTTACAGGTGGATGCCCAGTTATTCTAGCACTATTTGTTGACAAGACTAACTTTGCTTTGCTGTATTGCCTTTGCTTCTTGTCAAAGATTAGTTGACTATATTTATGTGGTATGTGTTTTACTAAAACCATAGTAAAGAATGTAGTATACATTTTTTTTTTTTTTTTTGAGACGGAGTTTCACTCTGTCTCTCAGGCTAGAATGCAGTGGTGCTCGGCTCACTGCAAGCTCTGCCTCCCAGGTTCATGCCATTCTCCTGCCTCAGCCTCCCAAGTAGCTGGGACTACAGGTGCCCACCACGCCTGGCTACTTTTTTGTATTTTCAGTAGAGACGGGGTTTCACTGTGTTAGCCAGGATGGTCTCGATCTCCTGACCTCATGATCTGCCCGCCCCGGCCTCCCAAAGTGCTGGGATTACAGGCGTGAGCCATGGTGCCCGGCCTACATTTATTTATTTATTTATTTTTTTTTTGAGACAAGGTCTCACCCAGACTGGAGTGCAGTGGTGCCATCATAGCTCACTGCAGCCTCGACCTCCTGGACTCATGTGATCTTCCCACCTCAACCTCCCAAGTAGCTGGGACTACAGGCACATGCCAACATATCCAGCTAATTTTTGTATTTTTTGTAGAGACTGGGTTTCTCCGTGTTGCCCAGGACTGGTCTCGAACCCCTGAGCTCAAGTGATCCACCAGCCTTGGCCTTCAGAGTGCTGGGATTTCAGGCTTAAGCCACCACACCCAATCAAAAATGTTTTACATAAGGGGATTTTAATAAAATTTGCGGAAAGTATAACAAAACAACCCTATCTTAACCCCACAGAGATGACCAGGGTAAAGCTGGGGCAGGTCAGAGGGTACCAAACAGGATGAAGAGTATCTGGTGGATGGAAAGTTCACTGGAGGGAAGGGGGATGTGTAGAAGAGCATCAGAATACAAACCTGCTTCAGAATCCAGAGTTCTGAGGGAGTAGAGACCAGGCGGGAAATTGAGTTTCAGGAAGGGAGCTAAGATTAGCATCCCAGGCATCTACCCCATGTAGGAAGGAAGAAGCAGGAAGGGATTCCAAAGAGATGGGTGGATTTGCACAAGGGACACGACACTTGGCCTGAAGCCAGTGGTTTATGATCTCTGTCCTTGATAAACTGCCGCATGCTGGTGGGAACACAGTGGAAGCCAGAGTGACCCAAGGCTCTGTAGGTGGTGGTAGCTGTTGGTGTTGGCAAAAAAGGCTAGGATTGCTTCCCAACCAAACTTCATTTTGCTATCCAAGTCGTTGGTAATTAGACAATTTTGAAGGTATAATTGCAAATTCTTCCAGAATATAATGGTGGTGTGGTGGCTCCCTTACAGATTACCTCCATTTCCAGGAAATTATCCGAGTTTTTCTTCATTTACTCACTCACCTTCCCAATTTTTTTTGAGTGTTCTGAGTAAGTTTGTAAGCTAAGTAGGGAGCGGGTTGGTGGAAGTGAATATTAAAGGGGATTCAAGGCACAGTTTCTTTGCCCAAGGGACTCACAGTCTCTTTGTAAAATAAATAAGGAGAGTCACACATTCAAGGTACAATGTGATAGATTAGAAGGGCTGAAAAAAGGGAAAGGTTTTGGCTATATTTGTTTAGTAACCATGATCTGAGGCAAACCACTTCAGAGTCAGTTTTTGCATTGGTATAATGACCATTTTAATATCAACTAGTACCTGGTACAAGGTCAATACTTAATACAATAGTGCTGTTGTTGTCATCAAAGTGCCATAGAAAGAAGTGAAATGCAGTGTAACTTCAATGGTGCTTTTCCAGGAATGGAAAAATAACAATGATAATGTCTTAAAATTATTTTGAAGGTTATAAATAATCTTTTCTTTCAGATTACTTAAACATACAAAGAATAACCATCATTAAGCTCTACTAATACTTCTAGTAAAAATGGAAACAATTGCTGCTTAGACTTTTTTTTTAAAAATGTATTTTTTTTTTTTTAATGCACAAGAGTAAATTTCTTCCCAGAGAATGCTCAGTAGGCTTTTTTATTGTCTTATGGGAGTCTTGCGCATTTGGGGTCTTTGAGCATTTCTGGTCTACACAGTTGTTTATTTCTCGCTTACTATAAAGTCTTTGTGTGGCGTATTTTGAAATAGTACATAGAAAGCAATATCAAATTTATGTCTAGATGTGCTCCCAATAGGGGGCTCAGCCCAGTTGTGAGAGTCTTAGAGTAGGAGTCTTGGCTTGTAATATCATCAGGATTCCAAGTTGAGGACCCCAAAAGACTCTAAGCACTGAAGAGATGTGACCCCAAAACCACAAGATTTTCTGAGTCTAGTAACAAAGCTTTTCACCCCATTAGAAAGACCTGCAATCTTTACCCCGATCAAGGGTGAGTTGGTCCTGGCTTGTGCACACCTTGGACCACTACCCATGCAAGACAGCTCAAGCTTTGCACCTAGTCTCACCCTCAGCATGACCTTAGCAACGGATGTGGTTGTTCAGTTAATAAAAAAGACTTGAGTGTACTTTATATGGTCAGGATATTGCTAAGCTCTGTAAAGGCTGTAGAAAACAAGGACTTTGATCAGGTTGATTCTGCAGGATGAAACAAAACAAAAGCTGCCCATAGAAGTACTCTGTGTTCATTTAAAAAAGTATTTTAAAGCTTAGCATTTGGCTGTTTAGCTGCCTGCACTATGGAGGTCTTGCTCCTTCAGCCCTGCTCTGTGCTTTGTTTCCAGAAGATCCCACAGCCAACAAAGATTCTGGCCAAGAGTCAGAGTCTATTCCAGAATATACGGCCGAAGAGGAACGGGAGGACAACCGGCTATGGAGGACAGTGGTGATTGGAGAACAAGAGCAGCGCATTGACATGAAGGTCATCGAGCCCTACAGGAGAGTCATTTCTCACGGAGGTAGTCGAGCTCTGCGTGAATCTGGGAAATGGGGAAGGGGCAGCCATTTTATTTAAAATCAGAAAGTGAGTCTAGAGTTCTCTGGAACATGACATCTCAAAGACCCTATTCTAGAGCCCATATTCAGGGAACTATAGAGCTAAGTATATTTCCTCATATTAAATTCAATAAACATTTAAAATCCTACTAGGCAAAGACAACTTTCCCATATAAAACGGGCTTTTCATGCTACATGTCTGATAGCGATCATGTTCTGTGCCAATGTATTGAAAGTCATAGTGGTCTAAGTTAAATGTCTGTTTGTCATTCTTATCAGTCCATTGTACGGTTGAACTGAACAGAAGATGTGACACCGTGGCCTGTGTCCTAAACTACCCCCGAGGTGCTTCTTATTACAAGATGGTCTTTTGAATCCTCTTCAGAAGCTTTGGGGATTTTTTTTAGACTTAGCCTAGTAATTGTTTCCCCTAACTGAAGTTTGCCTTTCTAGACACTACATTAAATCTAGGCCTGACAAGAGCCAAGCCCACTCAAAGCCTCCACCTGTTTGGTGAGAGACAAGGGAGAGAGAAAAGTGTGTTTGTATTTCCAGCACTTTCTTGAGGGCTCCTGGAGCATATGTGGCCTTGATTAATTTGGGATTCACAAAATGTCAGATGAGCGGAAGCAACACATTTAACACTGTCAACTTCAGAAAACATCGACAGCATTTTGATTCTTCTGCTGCATGCCTTCCTTTCCCAAGTCCTGAGGCGCCACTGTAACCACCCAGCTGTTCCAGAAAGAGTGTGAGCTGACGAGGCAGTTGTTGCTGTCTCAGTTCTCTCTTCCTTAATGAGGGCAGGGAAATAAGAGTCTTAGCACTGCTCAAAACACTGCTTTTGTTTTCTATTATAATAAGCAGAAGGCTGATTTGTTATTTCAGTCAAACCTTTCTCTGCCAGCAGATTTTTCACCTTCCATCCCATACATTGCTACTCCCACATAAGTATCAGGACCACCCAGGGAACCTGACCACTGTAGCAAAGGTGAATGCCAGTCCCTGCCCCTGGTCCTGGCCTTTCTTTTTCTTGCCTTACTGTTTGACCTGAAATGGAAATACGACCCCCTGAGAGCTGCTGTGGGGTCAGGAGCAGTTTCCTCTACGGGAAATCATGCCCGTAGCCCTTCAGAATGAGAGTTGGCCCAGTCTTGCTGAAAGTGACACACAGCTGGCTGTAGAGTCAACCCTTCTGGTTTTATGTGAAAACCATAGGAGGAACACTCAGTCTTCCCCATCTTCCCAGGTCACATCTCCTTTGCACCACCCATCAGATATTTTTGGTTTGTTTTCTTTTTGATAATAAAAACAAAACAAAGCCTGCCTGTAAGAGTACTCTACTCTATGTTCATTTTTAAAACTATTAAAAAATAAAAATGTCTGTCAAATCAAAGCCACCCAATGATAAGCCGCTATAAACATCAGCTCCTAAAGGCAGCTCGTGGTCCTGCTGCTTTTCTAGGGCTAGTTATCTGCTAATACTCCAGTAGACTCGCCTGCTTGTTCTTTAGGTGGGCTGGGTGGCGTGGTCAAGCCCATCAGCCTGTGGTCAGAATCAGGAGAGAATGGTTATCATCAGTGCACTGATGGTTGGAAAAAGCCACCGCTTCTGCCTGCCACAGTCTTGTAACAATTCACCGGAGCCCTCAGGGCTAACCTGGTTTGCTGTGCTCTCCGTCCCTACCACCTCCTCCCTTTGCCATTTGCTCTTCTCCATTCTGTGTTGCAAGCTCAGTTTTTGTCTGTGTGACTGTCCGGTTTGTTCTGAAGAGAAGGCCACCTCCCCTCTCCCCAGCCCTGCCTCAGCCCTCTCCAGGCACTGGCCTGCATGAAGTGTGCCTCTGGCTGCACCCATCCGGAACTTTAGAGAGAGATGCCACCTTTTCCTGCACCCTGAACAGCTTTTGTGCTCTGTAGGTAAAGATGCTCCAGATGTTACTTCTGAATTTGCCAAAGCTTTGTCTTCCACATTAGGAGTTTACACCACTCTCTTAGACCATAATGATGAGAAAGCTCCTTACTTACCAACCTACTGAGTTTGTCCTTCTGGCTTCTGATGAGCGTTTAAAAAGCAGCAATCACTTCCCAGTAAACATGAATCTTATTTGGTGCTTGGTATTTTGCTGTGAGGAAGTTTTGTCATTTGGGCCAGTAGAGAAGTGCCAGCTGCACAGTGCTCTGTGCCAAAAACTGTAAGGTGGGGGCAATCAAAAGGGCTGCAGAAGTTAGCCTCAAAGCCAGGCCCTGCCAAATGTCCCACCTGTTGAAAATACTGGTGCATGATGGCAGTATTTGAATAAATAATTCAGTCTTCAGCTTTGGTGACCTTGATATGAGCTATTGCCAGAGGCCCTGCACACAATGTAGAAGAATGAGGCTCAGTACCCATCTCTGCCACTTGCTAGTCTGTAACCTTGGTATATTACTTACCATCTCTGGGCTTCAGTGACATCATCAGTCAAATGAGGGTGATCTCAACACCACTGTTCACATCCTATGAGCCAATAGCAATATCCTTGCCATCTGCATAAATCAAAGCAAAGAGGGGTTTGGATAGTTTTGCTCAGCCAACCGTATGGGGTCCCTCTGAGGCTAGAACTGGCTTTTTTTTGAACTTGGAGCAGAGAAACCCATTTAAATAATGGAGAAAGATAACACCAAGTAATTTTAACAAGGATTCTTTTTTTTTTTACTTCTCTTATTTCATTATAGGAGATTCAGGTAACCTTCTCTGCAGTCTTGCTGGACAAATGACCCTGAAAAGAATGAGGAGAAGAGTTGCTGGCTGGTGTGTGTGTGTGTATGTTTTGGTTGCGACTGTGACATCTTTCCTTCTGTCTCCATTCCATTTGCTGGCCAGCAAACTTGTGTTACATCCCTTTCATGCCTGTCTGTGTCACTCAGGTAAGGTTTGCGCCCTTGCTTCAGAGGGTCTCAGGAGACTCCTGGGGGGTTGCTCATGCACCCCACCCAGCACATACACCCTGAATTCACCTCACCTTTCTTGAGAAGAGAGTCTAATGAAAGAAATGTTTTAAAAAAACAGACTTCAAATGAATTATGCTGTTGCCAACAGGAAATTTTACTTGAGTAAGTTGCATATCTGAGAATAGAAATTGAGGGGTTAGCTGACCCCTTCAAGGTATCTGGGAGGGGCAAAAAGTGAATGATCCTATGCATTCTGGTTATTGTACTTTGCCTGCAATGATAGTATTATCTGATTTTTTAAATTTAAATTTTTTTAGCAGGAAGCAGCTATAGAAAAATTACAGTATTATCTGAAATATCTCCCAAGCCTGCCAATGGCACTGGCTCTTGATTTTGGAGGAAAACTTTCATGTGGAAATCTTTTTCTTTTATTTCCCTCCTTCAGTTATCCCCTCTCCTTCTACTTTCTTCCTTCTCTTTTTGCCTCTTCTTCCCTTCTTAAAGATCCTCTACCCAAAAGAACAAATTTTCATTTATAAATTTTCATTTTCCTTTATAAATTTCTGTACTTTTTATATTGAGACATTTCTTACTTAGACAGCGATCATGAAATAGTAAGTTGATTCCATAGTATTCCTTTAGTTAAATAAACTTGGATGAACATGATGCTGCAGCATTCCAAGGGCAGATAGCATTTACACAGTGAGCTGAACTGCCATTTAAAATGACGTCTGAAGTACTGTTTATAAACCTCAGTCTTTCCCTTTCAAAAAAAAATTTCTTAGAAGTTCATGGAAATAAAGAAAGAAATCCAAGTAACTGAGCAGTCATGATCTTGAAATTACTGTAACACTCTGGAGCCAAATTGCTACATTTAGAAAGATGCTTTTGAAAGGATGCTTTCTTACTTGCTTTTCAGTTGGATTCATTATGTCTATTGTCTCTTTTAATGAACTTCTGTCTTTTCATCATGCTGAGGATGAATTGCTTGTCTGTGCAGTGTGAGGATTAGTATAGCTAAGCCACCATATCCTTTGTGAATTTCTATTTAGTTACGCATCTTCAGAAATGAAATTGTGGTAACAAGCAATTTTTGTATTAAGATATGTCTCCTCCTGCCATTTTCCTTCATATTGCATTCTAAAAAGTAGTTGATAAATACCTGCATATTGGAAAGATGGAATTAAAGCAAAAAAATCCAGAGAGAAGCTACTACATTACTCTCTCACAAATGTGTGTTGCATCAGTTGAATACTTACATAGGTAGCATCTTCTAAGATCTGTAGCGTAAATACTGTGTTCAACAATACCATATCATCACTTGTAGTATAAATACTGTATACAACTACCTCAAATTAGTAATACTCACAAACCCATAATTGGGTATATTTTTAGTTAGTATTGGTCTCTTCCCCCATCTTTTTTTGCAGTAGAGTCACACTCTCTTTGTAGAAAACATCTTATTAAACTGCTTTTTCAAGAGTTAATTAACTCCATCCAAATCTATATACAGCCATTACTTTACTGCCATGTAATCACCAGCGAGTATTTAGAGTTCTGAAAAAACTAACACGTTGCGTTCTGGGAGGACTGGACCAGGCTTAAGCGTATGTCCTGTCCTCCTACTCAAAGCTTGAAGAAAATCCCTTTAATGATTCTATAGTCCAGAACTATATGACATCAATTGCAATCGTTTAGACAGGGATACTAAAAATTAAAAATTCACACATTGCTTCCCTTTTTAAGTGTGAAAGACACATGACATTCCATATAGTTACATGTGGGGTTCTGACTGACACCTGCTGTGAGTTTCAAAGAAACTGTGGGAATGTAAAGCTTGCTTAAAAGACAGGGCAATTCCAAAATTATGCCAGAGCTTTCAAAAGATGGGGAATGGTGTCCTGAGATGTATCTACATGTTCCTTGACCCCTGGAGTTTCAAGGGCCACACGTTCCACCTGCTGTTTTCCCACCTGCTGTTTTCTCAGCACCTCCTGCAAGTAGCACTTACACTCCTCAGTCCCATGTTACCAGGAAGCAGTTCTCAAGATTTCCCAAAAGTACAGAATTTTGTACGACTCAAATATCATTTAGCCAGACCCATCTGTGGTTTTCCTCCTCTTATGAGAGGAAGTTTTCTTCCTCTTCGTAGAATTCAGAACCTAGCCCCTTAACAGAACTCAACGTGTAAGTTTCTCAGAACTCTAAATACTCACTGAGTGATTACGTGGCAGTAAAATATTGGCTGTATATAGTTTTTTTGTTGTTTTTTTGAGACAGAATCTCACTCTGTCACCCAGGCTGGAGGGCAGTGGCACAGTCTTGGCTCACTGCAACCTCCACCTGCCGGGCTTAAGCAATTCTCCTGCCTCAGCCTCCCAAATAGCTAGGATTACAGGTGTGCGCCACCACATCTGGCTAATTTTTGTATTTTTAGTGGGGACGAGGTTTCATCATGCTGTCCAGGCTGGTCTTGAACTCCTGGCCTCAAGTGATCTGCCTACCTCAGCCTCCCAAAATGCTGGGATTAGAGGCGTGAGCCACAGTACCCAGCCTGGCTGTATATAGATCTGGATGGAGTTAGTTACTCTTGAAAAGCAGTTTAGTAAGATATTCTCTACAAAGAGAGTGTGACTCTAGTGCAAAAAAGATGGGGGAAGATATGCCCAAAAATATACCCAGTTATGGGTTTGTTGTGTCATGTAGCTCTGGACTGTAGAATCATTAAACAGAGATTTCCTCCAAGCTTTGAGTAGGAGGACAGGACATACCCTTAAGCCTGGTCTAGTCCTCCCAGAGCCCAATGTGTCAGTTTTTTCAAAACTCTATATACCCACTGGTGATTACATGGCAGTAAAATATTGCACAGAACAAGGCCTGGCTAGAACTTCTCATGGGTTCTTGCACTGTCTGTTGATCCCAGGGGCACTGCAGGCCTTGAAATCAAAATAAAGGTGTTTTAATTGTCTACTCACTAGTATTTGGTCACTGGAGTGTGTGAATGAGAGATTATATTGCACTTCAGTGGCTAAATTCTCCCTTTAAATTAAGCAGTGTCTAAAACTAAAAAGAACTAAAGAGGATTAAACAGAATCTCTTTCTTAGCCATCAGAAGAAAGAAGTACTGTATAAGTACTTACATATTAGTATTATATAAATCAGACATTCATGTCAGTCTTGCCCTGTCTCATTTTTTGTTATGTTGAATATTTACACACCCTCTTCACAACTATGTACAACACATATAATCATCCATAATATATGAATAGCCTACATATGCAAATCTAATTGCGCTATATATTTAACACTCTGTAAAACATAGATGTTAACCACTGAAAGATAACTGTATGTGTATATACCTACAGACCTATAGTCAACATAAGCCCCATTTCATGCTGCTAATATACCCACAAAGACACACTTGCCAAGGCTTCAGATTTATCCATTAGGTCAGATATTACCTTGTTAAGAGCTTTCAATTGGTTACAAATGTCTTTTTGTTTGTCCCCCAGGATACTATGGGGACGGTCTAAATGCCATCATTGTGTTTGCCGCCTGTTTTCTGCCAGACAGCGGTCGGGCGGATTACCACTATGTCATGGAAAATCTTTTCCTGTGAGTGATACTTGTGACAAAGTGCTTTGAGTTAATGTCTGTGGCATGTAATGGCAGATCGATCATCTTTAATTAAAGAAAATAGATGATGTAGAATATTCTAAGCCTTCAATGAAACATCAGTAAGGTTTCTGTCAAGGAATGTTGCTCAAGGGGCTAAAACCTTTAAAGGAGTTCTTTTGTGGGTAGACTAGACTGAAAACAAAATGAACAGAATTTTGCTTGCATTTTTAAATTCTGTAATATTTCCTTTGGGCAAAGTATTATTTTTGTTCCTTCATAACATGTTCTTAGTCAGCTAAGACTGACTATAACCTGACTTCATTAATATCTGCCCTTATTTAACCTGAGTTACCCTTAGTATTTGATACCATTGTTGACAGTTTTGAAAGTCAGGATTCTTTCTAACCCATACATTTTTCTAGTGTACCTACATTTAAAAGATAGCATACCGATAAATGAGTAATACTCTCAGAGGAATACTCTTAGGTGACTGTATTCTCCCCAAGGTAAAGAGGTAATATGCACAACCATTCTTAAATTTCATACACCCTGTACTTTTAATGTTATGTAATTATGGTGTCAATAGGATGAAATATTTTATGCGGGAACTGAAAACATTCCTTTTCCTTCCTGTGATCAGATATGTAATAAGTACTTTAGAGTTGATGGTAGCTGAAGACTATATGATTGTGTACTTGAATGGTGCAACCCCAAGACGGAAGATGCCAGGGCTAGGCTGGATGAAGAAATGCTACCAGATGATTGACAGACGGTATGTGCGCTCTGTTATTTAATCACTATTTTGATTTTGGTAAACTGAAGGCTAAACAACCACATGGTATACTGTTATTATCTTCATTATACACAAGAAGAAACCAAGTCTCAATAAGACCAAATAAATTGTCTACGTTGCTATTAAGCATGTATTCCTTTCGAAATAGTAAAGGTAATGCTGGTGAGAATAAACAAAAACACACCATGTGGGTTATAGATTTATGCACCCTAAGAACATAACCATTCTATTTTACATTTATTTCTATGAGAAAATGAGGTTTGAATCATACAAGTTTCAAATTACATCTCAAAAAGCATTCTCGTAATTAATCATGGCCATTCTATATCTTCTTACCAGGTAATAGTAACTTGCATAGAACTCCCTAAAATTATATATATACACACACATTTTTGTTGTTGTTGTTGGAGTCTCACTAGTGTCACCTAGGCTGGAGTGCAGTGGCATGATCTTGGATCATGGCAACCTCCGACTTCCGGGTTCAAGCGATTCTCCTGTCTAAGCCCGCTGAGTAGCAAGAACTTACAGGCGGGCACCATCACGCCCAGCTAATTTTTTTATTTTTATTTTTAGTAGAGACGGGGTTTCAACATGTTGGCCAGATTGATTTTGAACTCCTGACCTCAGGTGATCCGCCTGCCTTGGCCTCCCAAAGTGCTGGAATTACAGGCATGAGCCACCACGCCAGACTTAAATTATATATATTCTTATTTAGGAATATGTTTTATGCTTTAATTCCCACTGAAAATGGGTTAAGAGTAATGTATTTTTTTTTTCAAAATAGGTTGAGGAAGAATTTGAAATCATTCATCATTGTTCATCCATCTTGGTTCATCAGAACAATCCTTGCTGTGACACGACCTTTTATAAGGTATAGTTAATATTGTCATAAAATAAAAGTACTACTAGTAGTTTTTTAAACATATGTGCTTATTGTCCTAAAAACAAGAATTCATAAACTAAGAGTACCCAGGGAAATATATTTGTCTCTGTCTTTCCTAGAAAGGTGCTTTGGACTATTCATCAAGCATCCCTAATTAAGAAAGAAAATGCTTTCATTATGAATATTTCCCCCAGATCATTATAAAACATGACCTCTAAATTGCTTGCTATAAACATGGAAGATGAAGTGGTGGGATTTTCATACCACATTAGAAAGGGGAATAGATAATACATTTAAAGTGATATGTTAGAAAGGTAGAGTAATATGACGATGGAAAATAAAGATGAGTCAAGGCAGAAACAGAAGCCATATCATGTCTCAATTGTGCCATTTCTCATTTCTTCTGAACAGACCTATGCAATGTTTGTATAACTACCAAAGTTATATAGCGTCTGGGCAGCCATTTTGAGAGCTGTGTTTTGATCACCCATGAGGAGTCTTGGTTTCAATTCAGTGAATATTTATTTGTCACTTATTTTATGTTAGGTTCTGTATAACCTTACATCTTGGTGATGCAAAATAAAGTAAGATATGGTTCTTTTTTTTTTGAGACGGAGTCTCGCTCTGTCACCCAGGCTGGAGTGCGGTGGCCGGATCTCAGCTCACTGCAAGCTCCGCCTCCTGGGTTTACACCATTCTCCTGCCTCAGCCTCCCGAGTAGCTGGGACTACAGGCGCTCGCCACCTCGCCCGGCTAGTTTTTTGTATTTTTTTTAGTAGAGACGGGGTTTCACCGTGTTAGCCAGGATGGTCTCGATCTCCTGACCTCGTGATCCGCCCGTCTCGGCCTCCCAAAGTGCTGGGATTACAGGCTTGAGCCACCGCGCCCGGCCAGATATGGTTCTTAATATAGTAAGACTTCAAATAGTTAAATGAAAGGAATAGTATTATTTTCTAGACAGCTTTAAAAACAGAATAAAATCTTGCCCACCATCAGGATACAGATTAGATTAATTGAAATTTTCCCATCTTAAAGTTATTAATGAATTTCTTTTAAAACTTCTGATAACTTTGCTTCTGGGGAAAAAAATAAACTTTAAAATCTTTTTTGTGTGTGCATAGATTTTACTTTAGCTTCCAGATTCAACCTTTCTTGTTCAGTATTTACTTATATTTATTTATTATTCTTATTCCCCACTTCCAATTGCTACTGCTGAAAAATGTACGTGAAAATCAAGAATTGTTAAAATGGTAAACTGAATCTAAACAATCACATGATATACTGTTACTATCTTCATTATACACAAGAAGAAACCACTGAAGACACAAAGTTATCAGAATTTTTAGAAGAAATTCATTAATAACTTTAAGATAGAAAAATTTCAATTAATCTTCAACTGAGTAGCAAGATTCACCCTAGTTTCCCTCTGTTTACCATACTATGTTAAATTGCTTTTAAAAATATTATGACCAGCTGAGCAGGGTAGCTCACACCTGTAATCCCAGCACTTTGGGAGGCCTAGGTGGGCAGATCACTTGAGGTCAGGAGTTTGAGACCAGCCTGGCCAACATGTGAAACCCCATCTCTACTAAAAACACAAAAAATTAGCCAGGCATGGTGGTGGCGCGCCTGTAGTCCCAGCTACTAAGAAGGCTGAGGCAGGAGAATCGCTTGAATCTGGGAGGTGGAGGTTGCAGTGAGGCAAGATCACACCACTGCACTCTAGCGTGGACAACAGAGTGAGACTGTGCCTCCAAAAAACAAACAAACAAAAAAATTTAGACCTATTTAAGGTATACAAAGAGCCACTTATTTTAATTAATTTCAGGAAATGCTTTAACTAGGGAGTAGGAATCAATGTATGCTGGTAAGCTTTCAAAAAGTGTAATGGGTAGAAAGTTTAATGGGTATAATCAGTAATTATGATTCATCAAAGTTTGCTTAATAATTCAGCACTTATAAAACAAAGGTTTTTTCTTAAGTAATGTTAAAAGATAAACCTTAGACAAATCAATCAGTTTATTACAGCAAAAAATGATTTATGAACCCAGCATCACTTAGAACCAGGAGAGGTTCAGAGAGCTCCACCCAGCAAAGTGGGCAGACAGTATTTGTCCAGAGAAAAGCAAGGTGACCTATAGAAATAGCTTGATCGGGTACAGCTCAGCAGTTATCTTATTTGGGTACAGTATGATGAAGCATTTGCCTTATATGGTCATGGTCTGATCATTTGGCAACCTGTGATTGCTGAAGCTCAGCTGCTTTGATTGGCTGAGACTCAGCTAGTCTTTGCAAAAATATACTCGTAAGTTAGGTTGGAATTTTATTTACATACTATGTTAGGTTGCAGTTAGCTACCTAGGAACTCAAACTACAGAGAAAGCCTTAAGCCAAATGTGGTTTAACAATAAGAAAACATTTGTTACTGTAAGGATATTAAAAATTATTATAATTCAACACTACTTATGGAAGGGAGTTTCAAGATAATAACAACAACAGTAATAATGAAATTATAGCAATAGTGTTGTGGTAAATTATGACTAATAATGGCTTAATTTATTGAGTGCTTATTTGCATTACCTCATTTAACCTAATGACAGTCCTCCGAAGTGGATACTTTTTTGTTTGTTTTTTGTTTTGAGACACGGTCTCCTTCAGTCACCCAGGCTGGAGTGCAGTGGCACGATCATGGCTCATTGCAGCCTCAGACTCCTGGGATTAAGCAATCCTCCCACCTCAGCCTCCCGAGTAGCTGGGACTATAGGTGTATGCCACCACACTCAGCTAAATTTTTTTATGTTTTTGTAGAGACGGGGTCTCATTGTGTTGTCCAAGCTGATCTCAAACTCCTAGGCTCAAGCAATATGCCTGCCTTGGCCCAAAGTGCTGAAATTACAGGCATGAGCCACCACGCCCAGCCTGAAGCAGATCCTGTTTACTGTTTCCATTGTATAGGAAAAACTGCTGAGGTTCAGGGAGGTCACATAAATTGTCTAAAGCAGGAACCAGGAAACATTGTTTATAAAGATTCAACTAGTAAATAGTTTAGGTTTCACTGGCCCTATGGTTTCAGTCACAACTACTCAACTCTGCCATTATAGAGTAAAAGCAGCCATAGGAAATATGCAAACAAGTAAGTGGCCGTGTTCTGATGAAACTTTTTTTTTGAGGCAGTCTCACTCTGTTGCCCAGGCTGGAGTGCTGTGGTGCGATCTTGGCTCACTGCAACCTCTGCCTCCCCGTGCTCAAGCGATTCTCCCACCTAAGCCTCCCAAGTAGCTGGGACCACAGATATGTACCACCACACTTGGCTAAGTTTTTGTGTTTTTGGCAGAGACAGAGTTTGCCGTGTTTCCCAGGCTGGTCTTGAACTCCTGAGATCAGGTGATCTGCCCACCTTGGCCTCCCAAAGTGCTAGGGTTACAGGCATGAGCCACCATGCCTGGCCTCTGATGAAACTTCATTTATGAAAACCGAAATTGAATTTCCTATGATTTTTACGTCGTAAAATATTCTCTTTTTGTTGAGAGGGAGTCTCACTCTGTTGCCCAGGCTAGAGTGCAGTGGCATGATCTTGGCTCACTGCAGCCTCCACCTCCTGGGTCAAGTAATTCTCCTGCCTCCGCCTCCCAAGTAACTGGGAATACAGGCATGCACCACCACACCTGGCTAATTTTTGTATTTTTAGTAGAGACGGGGTTTTACCACGTTGGCCAGGCTGGTCTTGAACTCCTGACCTCAAGTGATCTGCCTGCCTCGGCATCCCAAAGTGCTGGGATTACAGGTGTAAGCCACTGCACCCAGCCAACATCATAAAATATTTTTATTTTTACATTTTTTAACTACTTAAAAAAACATAGAAATCATTCTTCACTCAGGGGCTATAAAAAACAGACAGGCTTATGCCTGTAATTCCAGCTACTCAGGAAGCTGAAGCAAGAGGATTGCTTGAGGCAAGGAGTTCAAGATCAGCCTGGGCAACATAGGGAGACCCTGTCTCTGGAATTTTTTTTTTTTTTAATTTAGCTATGCACGGTAGCATGTGCCTATAGTCCTAGCTACTCCAGGGGTGGAGACAAGAGGATCACCTGAGCCCAGGAGTTCAAGGCTGTAGTGAGCTATGATCATGCCACTGCACTCCAGCCTGGATGACAGAGTGAGTCCTAGCCTCTAAAAAAATAATAAAAAACTAACAGCAAGCTGACTTCAGCCACGAGCTATCATTACCAACCTCAGGTCTAGGGTGACACAGCCTATAAATGATAGGCTCAATCTTTGAAACCAATTGTCTGCCCAATTCTAAAGAAAACCTACATCAAGTACTGAATAATTGTATTCTACAGTTTCATCATGTAGGAACCCCTCTAAAGATCCTCCTTTGAATCCATTTACTTCAGTGTTAGCAACTTGTAGATCTGAAAAAAGAGACCACTAAGATGTATGATAGGTCTTTTCTCTACTAAAGGGTAGCATTTATGATAAAGGTATATGGCAAGTTCATTTTAAACAATGAGTTATTGGCAGTTTGGAGATTTCTCAAAGAACTTAAAACAGAACTACCATTCGACCTGCCAGTCCCATTACTGGGTAAATACCCAAAGGAATATAAATCATTCTACCATAAAGACACATGCACACGTGTGTTCATCGCAGCACTATTCACAATAGCAAAGACATGGAATCAACCTCGATGCCCATTAACAATGGATTGGATAAAGCAAATGCAGAACATATACACTATATAGCAGCCATGAAAAAGAACTAAATCACTTCCTATGCAAAAACATGGATGGAGCTGGAGGTCATTATCATGAGTTATCCTAAGAAAACCAAATACCGCATGTTCTCACTTATAAGTGGGAACTGTACATTGAGTACACTCCAGACACCAGGGACTACTAGAGGGTGGAGGGTGGAGGAGAGTGAGGATCAAAAAACTACCTGTCAGCTACTATGCTCATTAACTAGGTGACAAAATAATCTGTACATCAAACCACTGTGACATGCAGTTTACCCTTGTAAAAACCTGCACATGTACCCCTGAAACTAAAATAAAAGTTGGGGGAAAAAAATGAGTAATTTGTCTGTGCCAAGCACTGGATTGGGAAATAACAAGGCTCAATTGCTGTCCTTAAGGAGCACAAAGCCTTAAGCAGACATGGGCAGACAAGTGAACAGTTACAATACAGCATACAATTGCACTTTGAGGAGGTGATGACTCAAGGTGAAGGTGAGTTTGGGGGTATACCTGGTAGAGAGCGAAAGCTGATAATCTGCTTCAAGAGAGGCTTTGCAGAAGGAAGCCTTCCCTCGAGGTGAGTTTTGAAGGACTAGTAGGACTGGCCAGCTGAAATTAGAGAGAAGAGCAATTCAGGTTGAGAAAACAGGTAGACAAAACGCCAGCTACAAATACATCAATAAAGAGAGAACATGGCATGTTCAGAGAACTGTAAAATTCCAGTGAATATTAACACTGGAGCTGGAGGTTTTTCCATTTACATGACTTCTTCTCCCTCTCAGTCACCCACTCAGTCTTTTATCAAAACCTTATTTTGCTCAACAACTCCACAGGAAGAAAAAGGCTTAATATAGCATATCACCGGTCATGTGTGTTGACCCAAGACCTATCAGGAGGAACAGAAGCTACTGTATGGAGAGGACGGTTGTTCACAGGTCTCTTGGACCCAGGGCCAAAATTGGAAGTAAAGTGTTAAAGATAGATGGATAGAGGAAACACCTCAAAAAAGCTTCTTACTAGAATGCACAGTAGTTGAACACAAGGCAGTACGGATGGTGCACAGCTCAGCAAGATCCCAGTAGACTACAGAGACCTTTTCATTTGAAACCATTCAAGAACATTAGACCCTTGATCAAGTTCTCTTTCAAGTGGAATGATACACTTTTTAAATTAGTTTGCCATTGCACAAGTAATAAGAAAATGCACTCTTGAGAAATGCATCCTATCATTACAGATAAGACCAAGTTCTTCCTTTAACAATTACCAATTCCTTTCTAATCCCCTTCCCCAGAGGCAAACTCCTTTATCAGTTTCATTGGTATCCTTCCAAGTTGTTCTCTGTGCATTTACACATATCTAAAACGAACACATTTAGATGAAAGCTGTTAGTAATTTAAATCCAGTTATTGGAACATATATTTGAATGTTGGTTCATCTAGAATAAATGTCCAACCTAAAACTTTAAAGACAACAACATTTTTTAAAATAAAACAAAGTTTTAAAAAGTGAGTTTACATATGTTTTTTTAGTATCATCAAACTTGGTAGATTCTGAAAGAACTAATGATAAGATTTTTGTTTGTTACAAACAAACAAGTAAACAGAGACAAACGAGTCATACAGCAGTGATTATTCAGAGTAGCAGGAAACACTGGGAGGCCGCACAATGTATGGCCAAGAGTGTGAATGCCAAAGTCAGACTGCCCAGATTAGTACAGGCTCTGCCATTTACTAATGGTGAGACCTTGGGCAAACACTTAACTGCTCCGTGTCTGTTTCCTTATCTTTGAAAAGCGGATGATAATAGTGTCTACCTCACTAGGCTGTAATAAGAAATACATGCATTCATATGTGTAAACCACTTAAAACAGCATTTGGCCAAATACTGCACGATCTCACTTATATGTAGCATCTAAAAAAGTTGAGCTTACAGAAGTAGAGAGTGGAATGGTCGTTACCAGAAGCTAGGGGTTGGGAGTGAGGAGATGTTGGTCAAAGACCACAAAATTTTGGTTAGGAGGCATACGTTCCAGAGCCCTATTGAACAATATGGTGACCATAGCTAATAAGAATGTGTTGCATCCTAGAAAATTGCTAAGTGAGGAGATTTTCAGTATCAAAAAAAAGCATGTGAAGTAATACATATGTTAATTAGCTCAGTTTAGCCATTCCACAATGTATACATATTTCAAAACATCATGTTAAACATTTTTACATGGCAATTTAAAAAATAAATTTAAAAAACAAAACAAAACACCACCACCAACAACAACAAAACAGTGTCTGGTACATTGTAACTCATCAAATAATGTTAGCCTCTTTTCTTAGTGAGAGTGCTGGGGCAAGATGTTAAGTGTATTAGGATTTTCAAGAAAAGGCAATAGTCTTGGGATGGATAAGGTAGTGACTAATGATACATATTTTTTCTTTTTCTTTTTTTAGTTCAAAATTCAGCAGTAAAATTAAATATGTCAATAGCTTATCAGAACTCAGTGGGCTGATCCCAATGGATTGCATCCACATTCCTGAGAGCATCATCAAGTAAGTCCTGACGGTTTCAGAGATTTCTTAAGAAATAGTACTAGTTTGAGGCTGGGTGTGGTGGCTCATACCTGTAATCCTAGCACTCTAGGAGGCCAAGTGGAAGAATCAGTTGAGCCCAGGAGTTTGCCATCAGCCTGGACAACATAGCAAAACCCCGTTCCTACTAAAAATACAAAAATTAGCCAGGCATGGTGGCATTTGTCTGTAGTCCAGCTATTCAGGAGGCTGAGATAGGATGATCACCTGAGCCTGGGAAGTCAAGGCTGCAGTGAGCCGTGATAGTGCCACTGTACTCCTACTGGGCAATGGGAGAGAGACCTTGTATCCAAAAAAAAAAAAAAAAGTGTATGTTTGGAGAAGTGGGTTGGTAAAGAGGTCAGTTCTGGAACAGAGGGGAAATGACATTATCTTATTTTTAAAACAATATTAAATATCCTCCAATAAATATAATTTTTTCCTATAATCTGTAGATAATTGTTGTGTTCTTTCAGATCCTCTTTCACATAATATTTTCCTGGGGTTATTTGATTATTGTTCATTTTTACCTTGAACTTTACTACCACTTTGGAAAAAGTAACAGCTACACTGGTTAACTGGTATACTGTCTCTACTGGTTAAGAGTATATCAGTTTCTTGTGTCTCCCACTCTGCACAGACACAAGATGGTCTTAGTATAGCTTGGATTTCTTTATTGTCTTATACAAAGTAATTTATCTGCATAACCCTAGGAAAATAGAAAGGAATAGCTCTCTGTTTCTTCTAAACCTTTTTTGTTTGTCCTGATTAAGTAGAGGACATTTGCCCAGTGGTGGGTGAGGCGGTGAGGAATGGTTTTCTTGCTCAGTAGAGGGTAACGCAGTATCAGCGTCAGCATCCTGCTTGGGTACTGAAGGTCTCAGGATGATGCTACAAAAATTAGGATAAAATTTAACAAAATAAATACTTGGAGCTGGGATTGTAAAACAGGGATATGGGAAAATGAACACTTGTATCTGGTACATTGTTGCAAAGAACGGTTTTTTTCTGTGTGTCATGTTTTTTTTTTTTTTTTTGTCCACTGTATCTGAATCGTTAGCTCTTTTCATTTCATTTGAGTGGAGAGGGATTTAACCATTAGCTCAAAGAAAACAGCCAAGTGTCATTCATCTTCCTCCATAAAATGGATAGCAAAATGTACCTCTCATTTGGGATTCCAAAAGAGTCCTCTCACTTTAAAAAAGAAGTTAATTAATTAAAAAGGCCCAGCCTAGAAATTGGAAGGAAAGAATTCTCACGTAATATGTGTCTATGATATGCCAAGCATAGCAGTACTCTATTTATATCATTTATTTGACTCCCATAGTAAACCCCTGTTTTACAGATGCAGGGGAGATAACTTAGTAAGAAGTTACTTAGGCACAGTGTAAGTAGGAACCAGGAAGAGATGGAACTGGAATTCAAATTCAAGTCAGCCTGGCACCAAAATTCCCATGTTCTTTTCTAGGAGATTCCTTTACCTCCCTTAGAGTATCCTTCAAAATTCAAAGCTCAGAAGTAGATGCATTTGGTTTTCCTACATAAGCAGTATCGGGCATGAACACAGGATACTGACTGGGCTTCCAGTGGTCAGTTGGCTCACTGAATCAAACGGAGTGTTCATAAGATCCTAATGATGGCTTCAACCCTCATTAGCTTCATAGCGTTTCCACAACCAGCACACCTCATGGGCTGCTGCCTCTAAAAGGTGTACTCCATTTTCAAAACCCACTTCTACTCTTTAAATTTAAAAAGTATGGAGGCAGGGAGGGATGCCTCACACCTGTAATCTTAGTACTTTGGGAGTCTGAGGAGGGTAGATAGCTTGAGTTCAGGAGTTCAAGACCAGCCTGGGTAACATGGTGAGACCCTGTCTCTATGAAAAAAAAAAAACAGAAATTAGCCGGGTGTGGTAGCATGCACCTGTAGTCCTAGCTACTCAGGAGATTAAAGTAGGAGGATTGCTTGAGCCTGGGAGGCGGAAATTGCAGTGAGCCGAGATCGCACCACTGCCCTCAAGCCTGGGTGACAGAGTGAGACCCTGTCTCCAAAAAGAAAAAAAAAAAAAAAAAGGAAGAAGAAGAAGTATGGGAGTACTCACATTCGATAAGATGACAAGGACATTCTCCCTTCTAGTGGAATTGAGCATTGACCACTTTCCAAGTAAACACAGTAACCCTTCCATGGTGTGGCAGAGGCAATAGAATGAAAAGTGAATGGGCTTTAGAGACTTAGATTTGAACCTTCCCTCCAACTTCTTAATGTCTCTGAGACTTCAAGTCATCTATTAAAATGATTAATTAATTAAAATATTCTGAGTCTCAGCTTCAGCATCTGTAAAGTAAGAAAGTAAGTTGCACTTCCTGGAATGGTCCTGAGGGTTGAATGCAAACGGTACACAAAGCACTTTCAAAGCCTCCCAGCACAGAGTTTGCAATCCAGAATCTTATTTATCGTTACGCTTGTTGCTTTTAGAGACTGTCATAGGGCAAAGTTCAAGTGAGAAGTTAAGTATAGCCAGGACATTTTTCATTCATCTGCACACATCAGTTTTCAAGGGCTCCATTTGGGAGAAGTTGCTTCAGGGAGGGTTCTATTTGGAAAAACTTTTTTCTGGAGGAAGAAATTTACCACCATTCACGTGCTGCCCACATGTCCGTGTGTTCTGTTTTCTGTAATTATCTCCTTGGGATGTCCTTTCTGCCATTTCTGTTACTGACCTTCATTGCCCCAATTTCATGTTATGCAAATTTCAAATGGATACAAGCCATGGCTCCTTTTTATCACTGAATAACATTCAAAGGATCTAATCTCAGCCACTCCCAAGACCAGTCCTCAGCTGAAATGGAGCCTGTCGTCAAAGGGCTTAAATGAAAGAAAAACTTGCTCAACCTAGAACCGAATTTATAATCATTGATCACAGTTGATTCTCATTATTTGTGGCAGTTATGTTTTATAAAGTCACTGCAAACACTTAGGGAATACTGAAATCGTGTTCCAAGGGAAAATACAGGGTGTTTGGTTCCTGCAAGCCCCTGGTCACAATGTTTTCATCAATCAGTCAATCATTCAATCAATATATAAACTTGTTTTATGTGTGTTTCTGTTTAAATGAACCTTACTTAGTATACATTGTTGATTTAGAACATTGAACTCATGGCCAACAGTATTGTAACTGGTGCATAAACGAAGCTTATCTAACACACATATTTTCTTCACAAGGCACATCACAGCCTTCCTGCACTTAGGAATACTAGACAGTATTTCAGCACTATGCTTGGAAGCCAATTTGAACAGCAAAATCACCAAGGAAAAATACAAAAATGAGGAAAAAAAAGCACTAAATAGGTTGTGAAAAGGACCGTTGTTTACAGTATGAAACAAGAAGACAGAGGATCACACATTGCCAGGTGGCAACATGAACATTGGGCAACTCAAATTTTTCAGCACTCTGCACATGTCCACAAGTGACCCAAAAAGTACCTTGTATTGGTTTCGTGGTTATAAATACATGTTAGTAAATAGGCAAATTTACAAATATAGAATCTGCAAATAATGAGGATTGACTGCATATATTTATCAATTATAAACATTGATTGTTATCTAATGAAAATAAGATGTCTCCCAAATGCCAATTTTATTATTACCGTCAGACATCACCTAATGACAGAGACATGTTCCAAGATGTGCGTCTTTAGATGCTTTCATCATTGTGCAGATATCATAGAGTGAACTTACACAAACCTAGATGGCAGAGCCCCCTACACCACCTAGGCTATCTGCTATAACCTGTTGCTCCTAGGCTCCACACCTGCACAGCGTGTTACTGTACTGAATACTGCAGGCAGCTGTAACACAGTGGTAAGTATTTGTGTATCTAAACATAGATAAGATACTGTCAAATTATGGTATTCTAATTTATGGAACCACTACCATATAGGTGGTCCATCGCTGACCCAAATGACGTTACCTAGTGCATTACTGTATCTGGATAGGCGTTTTCTCTCATGATTTGACTGTCGTTTAAATCATTTACTTGTCGTTTTCTCCATCTGTTTGCTCATTTTCCTTATGGCACTCGTTTTTTATTTCGTAAGGTACGATGAAGAGAGATCTTATAAGAGAAGTGTGAGGTAAAAATCTCCTGATCTCCTATTCACGCTGGATCCTGTGTGTGTACATCAGTGTCTTACTTGTGGGTGACCTCAACAAGCTACCAGAGCGAGAGGTCACTGTATCAGTCTTTTGTATGCCATTTCCAGTCTTTGTCCTGTGTGTAAAGCTGTTGAGGTCAACCTGATTTGCAACTGAAACCTACTAAACCAGATACATCCCTGACTTGGCCCAGGCTGCAAGCTCATTTGAACTGTACCCACCAGACTGACGTGGATGTTTTCAGCTTTATTCAGCCAGCATGTTCCTGATCCCTTTGCAACTTATACCTACCGTTTATGAAGGAATTTGCAAAGTAAATGTACATAAACACTGAATGGGAGGAAATGACAGTATGTTTAATGGAAGGAGTGTGTCTCGGGACTCCAGAAGACAGTTTTGAAAAGCACATATGCACCACTTTTGTTTGGCTCTGCTTTGCTGAGTGACTGTCTCATGCTCTGCTTGCTTCTTTTTTGTTTCTTTTCCGCACCAATAATTTTTGCTCCTGCAGACTGGATGAAGAACTGAGGGAAGCTTCAGAAGCAGCTAAGTAAGACTTGGTTTTCATTTAGTGGCTGGCGTGATGTTGGCTTGCATTTCAGAACTGAATTGGGAAAATCTGCATGCCTGGTGTTTTATTCCTGCTTCCTGATAATAATGCACTTTAGAAATTCTCTTTCTCCGATGATAGATGTAATCTCTATTATTCTTACTACAGTCTATTTTTCCCCATGATCTTGGTTATATTGAGGAATGCATTTGTCACTATAGTTGTTGTTTTTTAATGTACACGCAATTCTAGGCACCACAACAAAAGAGCACATCACAGGCACTGCAACGTATAGTGTGACATCGAGATGATCATTAGGTTTTCAGGCAACAGAACCTCACTAATTCATACCAATGGGAAGGAATAATAGCACATCGAAATTTGGAAGATTTTTGTAGAATCGATTTCATGGCCTTCTATGAGTTAAAACAACAACACCTTACTTAATGACTTTGGAAATATTGCTTAACTAACATCCTCTGAGCTATTTTGATGAATAGAAAAACAAAAGTCATTGCCCACTATTGTTGAAGTATGATTCTCAAAAAGGCAAAATTATAACTCTCATGCAAATATAAAATGAACACATGCCAATGATTTTATTCAACTAATTATTTAATGCAGGAACCACTAAGGTGTTAAAGCCAGTTCAAAGAACATTTGAGCAGCTAGATATCTATAGATAATTTACAGAAGAGTATTTGGATAAGATTGTTGGGTTAGATACAAAACTGGTTAATAAACAACAGGGCAATAAACTGTAATACTGAGGTTGTCTTTTCCACTGGACAGAAATTATTTGCATCTCTGCTGGACAAAAACTACAAGTTAACCTCTGCCCCTATTGAGTTGTAAAATAGCCCAACCAATAGAAAGTCAGCCCCCTGTAATCCCAGCACTTTGGGAGGCCGAGGTGGGCGGATCACGAGGTCAGCAGATCGAGACCATCCTGGCCAACATGGTGAAACCCTGTCTCTACTAAAAATACAAAAATTAGCTGGGCGTGGTGCCACGCACCTGCAGTCCCAGCTACTCAGGAGGCTGAGGCAGGAGAATCGCTTGAACCCGGGAGGTGGAGGTTGCAGTGAGCCGAGATCATGCCACTGCACTCCAGCCTGGGGACAGAGTGAGACTCCATCTCAAAAAAAAAAAAATCCAGTTATTCTCTTTTCTCATTTCCAAGTTACAAAGACATTTTCTGATAATACATGTTAGATATAACCAAATACTATTTGAAAAGTTTGCTGTATTAAGTACATTTTCTTCCCCATTTTAAATGTTGCGGCCGGGCGCGGTGGCTCAAGCCTGTAATCCCAGCACTTTGGGAGGCCGAGGCGGGTGGATCACGAGGTCAGGAGATCGAGACCATCCTGGCTAACATGGTGAAACCCCGTCTCTACTAAAAATACAAAAAACTAGCCGGGCGTGGTGGCGGGCGCCTATAGTCCCAGCTACTCGGAGGCTGAGGCAGGAGAATGGCGTGAACCTGGGAGGCGGAGCTTGCAGTGAGCCGAGATCGCGCCACTGCACTCCAGCCTGGGTGACACAGCGCGAGACTCCGTCTCAAAAAAATAAAAAATAATAAAATAAATAAAAAATAAAAAATAAAAAATAAATGTTGCTTACACTGTTCATTTTTATAACCAGCTCCCATTTTAATAGACATTGCAAAAGCAGAAGGCCTGGACAATGTCCCAACAGCTATAAATTCTGAATAAATAATATCTAACTAATAGACATTTTCTTCATAGTTGTAAATGCCAATTCCTCATTAAAACAATCAATTTAGACATTTTTCCCCTATGGTACATTTTTATTGTAAGTAACCTATACGATTATTTGCTTGTAGTGTGCCAATCTTTTGTGTTAAAAAATTAAAGGATAGGTTTTTGCTTTAGAAAGTTTAGCATTAGTGGAGTTTACTCTTATAATATTCTGATCTTCTCATTTTCTTTCAAGATAACTGACACCCAGTTAGACTAAAGAAACTCAAAACTGTGTAATTTTTTTATTCTAAAAAAAACTTCTTAGTCTTGATCCCAACTGTTACAAATAAGAAGTTGTTAAGTAAGGAAAATATTAGTAATCAAGGAACTGAGTGTTGGTGTAACATTCCTTTAGCATTTATCTGCACTCAAACTGCTTTGTGTCATGAGATTTCCTAGAGTGAGAACTCTCTGTGAGTTTTTCTTTCAGATTTATTTTTTCAGGATGATAACATATTTATGAAATTAAAGTGCTATTTTCAAGACAAAAGATAGGGGGAGAGAACATCAATGATTTTTCAGACAAACCTATCATAAAGTCATATTGTCATGTTTCTTTCATTATTACTATGAAATCTTGCTTCTTTTAATAGATGTTTTTTCCCTCTATATTTATACTATTTCTGCTTAGCTGCCACAGTCAAATGATTATTGTTTTTGGATAGTTTTGTAGCTTTCTCTTTTTTCTCTCACATCCACTATTTTGTTCTCTTCCTTACCCCTACCAACCCTCTCCCGACGTGTTTAAATAGCTCAGATGGTCCTGAGACATTTTAATCTCCCTCCTAAAGGAAGCACTATGCTCATGCCTAGTACATAGTAGATGCTCAGTAAATTTATGCTGCATAAATTAATGAATTTGCATCAGAGTCAGTTCATTGCTGTTGAGCAGTGGGTTCTCAAACTTTATTGTGCACTACAGTGATGACCTGGAGCACATGGTAAAACAGAAAATCCCGTGTCTCACCCCCAAAGTTTCTGATTCACCAGCTCCAGAGTGGAGCCTAAAAAGCTGCACTTCTGGCCAGGTGAGGTTGCTCGTCCCTGTAACCCCAGGACTTTGGGAGGCTGAGAGGGGAGGATTGCTTGAGGCCAGGAGTTAGAGACCAGCCTGGGCAACATAGCAGGACCCCATCTCTACAAACAAAATTTTTTTAATTAGCCAGGTATAGTGATATGTGCCTGCAGTCGCAGCTACATGGGAGGCTGAGGTGGGAGGATCCACTGAGCCCTGGAATTCAAGGTTGCAGTGAGTTAATTGATCTTACCAGTACACTCCAGCCTGGGCAACAGAGTGAGACCCTGTCTCAAGGAAAAAAAGTCTGCATTTCTAACAAGTTCCCAGTGCTGCTGCTGCTGCTGCTGCTGGTCTCAGGACCCAGCATTGAGAACCACTGCTTAAAAGTCAAGGGCCAAATAAAAATAATCAGATTTGTTTTAGAAGTGTATGCTCTTGCTTTGGATTCAGCGGGTAAGCCATCTGCCTGAAGAATCCTCCCTCTAGGATCTGTTGATCCCACCTTTTTGATGGTAACATCACATGTATGAGAAATTGAAATATATTTGCACATTTGAAAATGTGCACAGAGAAAGAATTCTCCTCTGTTGACCCCGGCGATTGGAATGCCTTACAGTCCCACCATCTCGGCTACCAGCAACATTTTTTCAACTACCTTTTAGCCTCTGAAGTAGCCCCTGAATTCTAGGAGAGACTCTATGATAAACGTGATCACTGCAGATCTAGTGCTAGAAGCCAGATACACCCAGGTTCTTCCTGTTGACTGATGTGCCTGACTTTCCACATGACTTGTTCAGAAAGCTGCTGGTTGGGTCTCACCAAAGGCAAACGTACACTTGGTCAGGCAACAAAACCTAGCTGTCCACTGTTTTGCTTTACACCCACTAGTGTTTCCCAACATTCTCCCTCTCCCCTCACACACACACACCCCCCACTCAAACTGCACCCCAACTCTAATTGATTTCAGAAGGTGATTTGCTCAGCCTGCCTTATCTTTTCTTTAAAACCTTACCTCTATACAGGAAAGAAAGTATTACACTTCTGAAGGATAAATAGTATACATAGAACCATTCTTATTTCAAAACTTGGGAAGCATCCTTGTGTTGCCTTTGGAGTGACAGTATTAAAGGGTTTGCAAATTGCTGTTTTCCTTGGGAGGATTACTTGAAATTAAAAAGCAGAAAAGCTGAGTTTGGAAGATTGCCCTTTCTTGATTCCATTCCAGCTTTGCTTTTTTTTTTTTTTTTTTTTTTTTTTTTTTTTTAGCACACTGTCAACACTTACTTGACTGTCCTTGCTCACTGGAATTGCCAAATATTCCCTATGAAAATATCAGACCACCAGCAAGAAGGGTAGGGAGTGAGGAAGGAAGGTTGCTATCTCACCTGGGGAGATAGCCTCCTGGCGTTTCCAACCAAACACCTGACTTCATCATGGATCCTCTTATGTGCAAACAGATCAATTAGCTTGTGAAATTATATTACAAAGAGGACAGCTGCACTTAAAAAGGATCATAGAAGCTCTTTAAATAGTGTTTGTTTGTCAATAATAAAATATTTATGGGAGTCCGGGCACGGTGGCTCACGCCTGTAATCCCAGCACTTTGGGAGGCCAAGGCAGGAGGATTGCTTGAGTCCAGGAGTTTGACACCAGCGTGGGGCAACATGGCAAAACCCTACCCCTCCCAAAAATATGAAAATTAGCCGGGCATGGAGGCCTGCAGCTGTAATCCCAGCTACTTGGGTGGCTGAGGCAGGAGAATCGCTTGAACCTGGGAGGCAGAGGTTACAGTGAGCTGAGATAGCGCCATTGCACTTCAGCCTAGGTGACAGAGCAAGACTCTGTCTCAAAAAAATAAAATATATGGGAGGGGTATAAAAGTTAAGGTGTAATGAGTATTCATCAAGAATTAATAGAAAGCAAATTTGAAATTTGCTAACAGAGAAATCACACCAGTATGAAATATCAAAAACAGCTAATATTATACCAAAAAACATAAATTCCATAAAAACACTTTATTATTTTATAAGGTTACATTTGTCTTCTGGGCATACTCAGTTGAGGTAAATGGTAGGATCCATTTGTATCACCTGGACACAGCTCAGCTGTCTGCAGTGGTAAGTGTCCTGTTATTTCTGTAACAGCAAGGAGGAGAGCTGACATTGACATTTTTTCTTTCAGTGTATTGGGAACTCCTCATTCTCGTGAAAACTGAAAATTAACTGTGTTCATGGGTGAATAAAATGAGGCTGCTTGAGAGGGATTTTCCTCTGTGTGTAAAGTATTTTATTATTTGGGGTACCAACACAATTTTGTCATATGTCCCCCCTGAATAAGACGAATTGAAAAGGCAGGGAAAAATGAGGACAGAAGAGACCACTGGAGGTATTTGGAGTTTTTAATCTTTGCTTTGTGTTTTTGTATCATGGGCAATCACTTGTATTTCAAAACCGATGGTAAGGGTTACAGCTGAATCTCCTCATCTGTTCAGGTATGGATCGGTTCAGTATTAGTAATGGGACCACATTAAACAGTTTCAAATGCCTCAGATCTGTTGTGCTTTCACAGTGGTGACAGTGGGGAAATACTGACTGCTTCCTATTTTTTCCTTGCACTCAGAACTAGCTGCCTTTACAATGATCCAGAAATGTCTTCTATGGAGAAGGAGTAAGAATTCACCATCAATAGCAGCTATGTGGTTACTTGTAGTGTTGTATGGCTGCGCTCTGAAAGAAAACACACTGAGGACTGGGTAAACCCTGTTTAGATGTTCAGCTTTCCTGTGCTCCATTCCTGACATCAGAAACTTGAAGCAGATTTGCCAGCTTCACACCATTTCATTCACAATCACCCCTTAAATTTCTAAAGGACAACCTATGGACATGGCATTCTATTTTTCCAATCCAAAAATGAGAAGAAAATGATTAGGACCAGATGTAAGAACATTTGGGCAAGAGGAATGCAGTTCTGCTTTCTGAATGACATCATCTCTATTTTAATTAGTGGAAGTTGGAACTTCCATTTAATACTTTGGTGGATGGAGAGAAAATGTGCTTGTTTTGCAACGTCCAGGAGGAATTTGAGCCTGGATGAGACTGTAGGAATGATCTATTTGGAGGATTACCATCCTGTGAGAAGTAGAAATTGGACGTGTAGTGAGTTCTTACCACGTTCCAGACTGTAAAAAGCTTCACACGCAGTGTCTGATTTTAATCCTCAGAATAAGTTTATGAGGTACATTTCACAGATGAGGAAAGAGAGGCATAGAGAGACGATCTGGCCAGTCCACTGTTTTACAGCTGTAAAAATGGCCCGGAGCTGGAATTTGGACCTTGGCAGTATAGCTCCAGGGCAATGGTTTTTAAATCAGAAAGAGGTGATCTTCATGCTAGATGGGTGTACCACCTCCGATTTAATGAAAGACAAAACTACTCACCTAAGAGAACAGAGTGAATTAGCGGCCAAGTCAGTTTCAGGGAATAAACTGTGGTCACCAACAAACTTTCAGAGAGAACTTGGTCATCCAACAGGGAGCTTCTAATTTGGTTTGAGTTGTGGAGAATTTAACCTTGTCCCTGTTCCTAGGAATCAGGAAGCAGAGGGAAAAATCAATTTTAAATGTGTCTCGTCTCTATTGCCACTTTTTGCTGTCTTTGGACCTCCTTTCCGTTGAAGTCCAAAAGGAAGCTGGAAAATTAGAGTGAAATAGCTCCACATTTGCCATGTTGACCTTGCAGCTTAAAGGAAGTTTAGGCACAAAAACTCCAGAGACAGTCCCAACTGAAAAAGTGCACAAAGAACAAAGACTGGGCCAATTCTGGATGCATGCCTATGAGTTAGCCCTGCTCTGCAAGGAACATTTATTTTTTCTAAATAAAAATTTTAAAAAAGAACAAAGACTATAGAGAGACTTTTGAAATCACACAGCTATTTTTCCAAAGGTCACTGTTGTGATGAAGTTGTTGATGAAGACAACAACTGCTTCAAGGAAATTGGCACATCAAATTCTGCAAAGCAGTAATACCTCAATTCCCCAGCCCACGATAATTCTTTTTGCAACTATTTCTTCCCTCAGCAAAACAGCACCCCCTTGAGCAGTTAACAGAGCCCACAGTTAACAAGCAGCGTAGAGGGCACATGTGGAAGCCCAGCCAATGGCTGGCCCATTGCTGCTACATCTTAGGGCTTACCCACTTCTTTGCTTGCCTTGTCTGTCTTGCTCCTTATTCCTTTGTAGGGCTGTTTTGGTTGGGAAGAGGGCAAGCGTTGCTTCCTGTCTGGGTTCATTCCAGGGCCGGGCATGGAGGAGGGAGGGATACTACAAATTGTTATTGTTACTTCCCACTTTTTAGAAGAACACATTCTTCTCAAGGCTTCCCCTTCTTCAGCCCTCTCTTTCCTGAGCCCTTAAGAGGCACATGATCACAGTGTGGATGATGAGATTGGGATAAGGGTCAAGAGTGGCCAAGAATTTTGTGGGGTTTTTTTTTTCTGACTTCCAGTCCTGGATTTCTGGCTTTCTTTGGTATTAGAATGAGGGCTTCATTTACTTCTGGCTCCTTTACACTGTAGGTCATCAAGGACAGAGCAGCATTCTGTGTGGAAGCATTTTACACCTTCCAGAGCTAGTGTTGAACGAATACACTGCAGAATGGGCAAGGGTTCTTCCAGTGGGCTCGATCAGTCCAAGAATAAGATGGAGTGTGTGCTGTTACCATAGCGGTCTCTCATTTTCCTCAGAGACAGAAGAGAAGGTTATGCCCATTTTCTTCTTCTTACATCAAATGCAAATATTTTTATTCATCATTAAACAATATTGTCAGACAGTTTGTAAGGAACCTCATTTAATACATGTTAGACACAAAAATGGCCTATTGTAAAATTATCAGAAGGTTGCTCTGTCTCAGGAAAAAAGTTGCCTATAGAAAACTAAGCCCATTTGCCCAAAGATTAAGAATATTCAATTCTGATTAAAAGTATTTTTTTCCCAAAAAGGACACTTTTTATTTCTTTATTTATTTTTAAATAGCCCTGGGTGCTTGTCTCCTTCCCTTTTAGGTTTGGATTTTATGAATTCCTTCATGTTCCAAAACTTGCAACATGCCTTTTTATATTTTTATATATTTGTTTAAAGTACCATGATCAAGGGTGGCTCTATTTGAGGAAGCTTAAATTAGCATCATTGTTAACAGCTTTGTTAACTCCACAACATTGCTGTTCTCTCAAATATTAACCTTCCAAGTGGTTTCCTGTATTTTCTTACAAGAAAATCGTTCGCTTTTGACTATTTCATTTCATAAACTGGGTAAACAGGTTCCAGTCTTTTAGCTTTTGGGTTAACAAAAGCTGAAGGGATGAATTAAATCCTAGAAGATTTACAAAAAAGTCAGTATGAGAAATAATCGAGACGGGCATCCTGGTGTAAGTGTTAGCTCAGGGGCCTGATGGTGAAACAAGGTGACCATGTTCTTTTAAGCTTCCAAGACTGTTTCAAATATTCTGACTCACTCTCGCAGTTTTTAGACAATGTGCCCCAAATTTTGGTTGAGTAAATATACTCTTGGTCTATGGGAGAAAGTCAACCAACACCGTGAGAGAAAGAATCAAATTTCCAGTCACCAAATCAAACTTACTACAGATTTCTGGGAACAGGAAGGACATTTTAAAAGCAAAAACAAGACTTTTTTAAAATGACCTGTTTAGTAAAGGTGTGTAAGAAAAAGATCTCAGGGTCACAGTGGATAAAAAGAGGATACCTCTAAAGTAAACTCTGCAGGTAAGAAAACAAGTCAGAGGGCCTAAAAACTAGAAATATTCATAATGATTTGGCTTCCTAAAGGAAACACGATTGTTGCAAGTAGGCTAATAAAGCAAAGAGCTATTTTCTCATTTAAAAAAAACACTGAGGGCCAGGCGCATTGGCTCACGCCTGTAATCCCAGCACCCTGGGAGGCCGAGGCAGGCGAATCATGAGGTCAAGAAATCGAGATCATCCTGGCCAACATGGTGAAACCCCGTGTCACTAAAAATACAAAAAATTAGCTGGGTTTGGTGGCGTCCACCTGTAGTCCCAGCACTCAGGAGGCTGAGGCAGGAGAATTGCTTGAACCCAGGAGGCGGAGGTTGTAGTAAGCCAAGATCATACCACTGAACTCCAGCCTGGCGACAGAGCAAGACTCCGTCTCAAAAAAAACAAAAAATACAAAACAACAACAAAAAAAACCACCGAGGTACTATTGCTGCTAGTAATAACAGACATTATGATATGTTCACTATGTACAATTGAAAATGCCTTAGACTTATTCTTTAGCAAGCTATGAGAGAGGTATGACTGTTCCATTTTACAGATACAGAAATGGGAACTTAGAGAAGGTAGGTGACTTGGCCAAGTCGCCACTGCTAGTAAGTGATGGAATTGCTGACTATATTTCAAAGGAAAGATACTTTACTACTGTAAACTGGATGGGCAGGCAGTGTGAATTACCAGTGGCTTTATCTGCAAAACTTCTAGAATAAACACTGCTCAGCTGCTGCAAATTCCACAAGCAAAGCACAGTAACCTTTGCAACATGCAAGCTTATGGCTCAGGGGCAGAGATAAGCAAAATCCACAGATAAGTGCCAAATCACCCATTTCAAACTAATAATTTCTCTTTTATCACAACTGAAATTCTTCCTCTATTTACTGGCTTTTGGTTTTCTTCCTCTTGTGTGGATGCGGTAGGAAGTTGTGCTATGTTCACTAAGAGGCAGAAGAAAAACATGTGATTCAAGTAAGTTTTAGGTTTACTCCTCAGATATTTGGGAACCCATTTGACCTTCTGAAAGACAAGCTTTTCTTTAGTTATAAACATCCATCTCAGTAAGGTAGGCTAACCTCTTTCAGTCAAATCCTTTGGCTCCTAGAAAATGTTTGATGTTATTTTATTGTTTACCATTTCTTACTATTTAGTGCTTGTCAGACATTACTTACTTGAGGCAGAACATTTGTTTGCTTCACAAAGAAAGGTGATTTATTAAAAATAAATAAAATGGCATAATTTCCAGAATACACTAATGCTCCTTATCTTAATTGACTTTGGGAATGAGCCTTTACATGAGTTTTTTTACCTCCCTAGATCATTCTGAAAAGGTGTAAAATGCTTCCAGAAACAATTTTGTAAAACTAAACAGATTTCACAAGTTGGAGAAAAGCCTGACAAGAGGAGGATTGGGTTTTACCAGATTTTTCTATTATAAGAAACTTGCATGATTTAAAATATTTTCAGTATGTCCTTTGAGGAAAAAAGCAAACACAGTGCTACCCAAATCATTACTAAATGTTTCTCATTTGGGTTCCATGTTTCTCTCTCTTTTTCTTTTCTTCACAGTATTGACTTGAAGCTGAAAGAAAAGCCCTAGTTGGCCACGCTGGAAGAAGAGGATGCTTTTCTGGTTCATGGTTCTGTTGAAACTTATCTACCTGAAAGAGACAGGGCTGATGTTACCTTTTTCCACGTTGCACTACCTGGTGCCATTCTAAATTTCTAAGGGGAAAAATAGGAAGAAAGTTTGTTTACTCTTAACGTATTTTGTGAAATTGTGTCTACTTTCCTATTTTGCCAATTATGTGCCTCAAAGATTTTAGTTGAGCCTTAGCAAGAAAGTACGACCTTCCATTTCAATACTTCGTTGACACAGTGCGGTGATATTTTGTCCCTTACACAGGTGTTTACCAGTAAGATACCTTTAATCCACTGTAAATATTAGTGGATTTGTTTCCATAGATTAGCTGGATTACCCTTTGGTGATTGCATTAGGTTTAAAGGACACAGGGCTCAACTCCTCCCAGGAAAGTTACCCCTGTGTGACTCCACCTTTAAAATCCTAAGCCTGACTAGGACAGCCATAAACCACACAAGGTATAAAACCGTCATCAGCTAAGTGCCCACTTTGTTCTTGTTTACCAGAATCTCCTTTAACTTCTCAAAGGGAAGCCGGGCTCTCTAATCCACATCAACTTTATTTTAGTTGTCAGATTGGTCATTACATTTTATGTAAATTGGTCTTTTAACAGATCATTTTTCTGATGAATGTTGGTGACCTCCACATTGCGAAATTTAAGAATGAGCGTTGCAAGTTTGGTAGCTCTCTGAGCTTCAGGCCATAAACTCAGCTCAAGATGTTACCTTATAAGTGCCAAGAGCTCAAGTGCAAGGTGGCCTACTCAGAAATCATTTGGTAGCATTCAGTTATCCATGAATTCTTCTCTCGCATGCATTATAAAAAGTGATCTGCTTTAAAACACTATAATCTGATCACAGGCTTAAAATTAAATGTGAGTATGTACTTTCATGTACAAAATATTTCCTTTATAGTCTTCATATGCGCTGTAAAATGCCGACAAGATTTCAAGTCTGTAGGCCTCTAGCGGGGTGGGGTGGCAAACCACAGCTAACTCTAGCTCACCACTGCAAGCTCAGAATGGCTTTTATATTTTGGGTTGGAAAAAAAATTTTTGAATATTTCATGACACATGAAAATTATTCAAATGTTAGTACCCATAAATAAAGTGTTACTGAAACACAGCCACGCAAACTTGTTTTTGTGCTGTCTACAGCTACTTTCACACTACAACTGCAGAGCTGAGCAGTTCAACAGACCGTATGTCCCACAATGCCTAAAACATGGAGTATGTTTACAGAAAAAGTTTGCCGACCCCTGCTCTAGCAAACGCATCCTTTCCTAGTCCACCCCAATTCGTATTTAGTTTCCCTAACAGAACGGACAAATGAGGCTGCAAACTAATTTGTTTTTGTCAAAAATAAATGTTTTGACATCCACAGACAGTAAACTAGAAGAAATAGCCTGCTGAAAAAGATGAGGAGCCCTAGCCACAAAATCACGGCTTAGGTTGCAGTTGTCAAAAATGAAGCCTTCTTAGAAGCACCTCTTTAGTATTTACAGGTGTTGCCTGAAGTCCGCACCTCACTCTGGGAACCATTCTTAGTCTCCAGTGTCTCCTATTACAAAGAAGCTGGCGGAAATGAAAATGAAGGGGAGAGAGGGGTTCCCCCCTAGTCTCTTGGTGGAAAATTCACTGGGGAGAGCTGTCCAGGATACTTGGAGCTCTTGGTAGAAGGAGCCTGTAACTGCTTTGAAGTAGACGTCATTGCACAGGTGACTGAGTTTCTCTGACCTCATTGCTTCATGTCTGTCTCCTCCCGTCCTCCTGCATGTGCCCCCACATACACAGGTCGGCCCTCTTTCCTCCATAAGCCTCCATCGTTTTCTCTTTTCTCCTCTTGATCGAGATACAAAAGCGAGTATCTTGTTGAATTGTATGTTCTATTGGATCTCCTCCCTCATAACACCTGGCTTGTTGGACAGAAAAACCCTACAGCCCACCCTCTCCCATAGCCCCTTCTCCACTTTTGAAAGCCCAAATTACGCCTCTCCCAGAACACAGTGTTGACATAAACACAGTTACCCAGTATTCCTGTTTGTTCACCTATTTGCTACTTTCACTCAGTAGCATCCCATTTTGTAAAATGAATTGCATGGTCACCCTGTCACAGGAAGTAATGAAGAATCCAGTGTTCAGTGTAGTGGTGCAAACCTGAGGGCATAGAGCTGTTCATAGAGGGCTCTTGTTATAGCCAAACAGACACAGCGACAATCTCACCATTTTTATATATATATATATGTATTTTTAACTTGTCCAGCTCATCTATGGAAAACTACTCAGGTGGTATGCTGTTTGAAGCCTCATCTTCCTATATGAAAATTGTGGGCATTTATCCCAATGATTTTGTTGCAGCTGTTCTGTGGTCTGCATAACCACTCTGATATTTAGGTATCTGCTATTTTATTATCTTAAAAAGACAATTTAATTGCATGTGCTAGAGAAAAGCTACCATGTAAATTCACCCCAAGTAAATAGAATCCTAGATGAATCCTAGAAAAATGATCCCTAAGCAGATAGGTAGACAGAGGTAAACATTCACAGGATTCAGCTCTCTAGCTCTTGCATTCTGAGCATTCTTGCTTTGGTTCTGACTTCTGGGAACTGCTTTACATTTCCCCTATAGATCTGGAGTTTAAGGGAACCAAGGGGTCACTGGGGCAAAAGCATTGTTTCTCAAAGCTCCTTGATTAAGAGAACAGAAATCTGCACAGAAGATACTGTCAAGGAGTGAGAAAATTTGTTTGAGGGCAGTAGCTCAGTGTGGAAGAAAATCCTGAAGCTTCTGTTGAAACCGTACAATGTTCTGTGGGGTTACTCTCTAAGGCATTCTCTGAGGTGTGTGAGGAAGTCACTACTCATAGCCTTTGTTCAGATATAATTTTAAATATTCAGTTATGGTACTATGTTTGCAACTCTCATCTTGTCACAATGCCTCAGTAGTTTGTTCCCTTAGAAACACTTAGATGTGCACAAATTAATCTTTTATATATCTAAAGGTTTTTCTATCATGTATTGGATTGCTCAGAATAAAGTATCTATGAGACTTTGTTTTGGTAAATAAATTCTCCCTGATGTAGATTAATATAAAATCTGTAATGACATAATATATCTATATAGCCTTGCTGTATAATTCAGAAATAAAAATTGATTCTGCATGTTATGGTTTTCTTTCTTTCAATCAGCAAGAATCTTTCTCTGGTTTCACTTTGCAGCAATTTTATCTGGACATCAGTCTAGCTTGGCACTTGGTACTGGAGAACGGTGTACGTTTTGGCTTTTCTGGACACCCAAACTTTATTCTCTCTTCATTTTTGCCTTTCCTGTCTCAGAGTTCAATACGCCAAGCTTTCAAACTGTGTTGTTTACTCTTTGGATAAGCGATTTCTTACTTTGGAAACATCTCCATGTTTCATGGTTACTTGATTTTTGTCTTTTCCTCTCTCTGCTCCTTGCCTTTTTATGGCATATATTTATTTTTAAATTAAAATATATTAAATATCATTTTATTTTTAGTTGGGTTTTCCCCCCATTTTCACAACCTTTAGGCAAAACCAGAGTTGAGAATCACCACTGTGCTATTTTTTTTTTTTTTAGACAGAGTTTCGCTCTTTTTGCCCGGGCTGGAGTGCAGTGGCGCGATCTCGGCTCACCGCAACCTCCGCCTCCCGGGTTCAAGCGATTCTCCTGCCTCGGCCTCCCGAGTAGCTGGGATTACAGGCGTGTGCCACCACCCCGGCTAATTTTGTATTTTTAGTAGAGACGGGGTTTCTCCATGTTGATCAGGCTGGTCTTGAACTCCTGACCTCAGGTGACCCACCCGCCTCGGCCTCCCAAAGTGCTGAGATTACAAGCGTGAGCCACCGCGCCTGGCAACCACTGTGCTATTTTTTTAACTTAATAAACACATGTGTACCTCTGAGAAAATTGTTGGACTAGTCAAAGGAGAAATTGCTCTACAAAAAGTGAGATGTTGCATGTTCTCATGATCTAAAAATGAGTGATGGTAGATATTGTCCCCTACCCAAGAAAGGGATGAAGCAGAAGAACAGGCTGACAAGTAACTGCAGGCAAAGGAAGGATATTCAACTACAAGAGGTACTGCTACATTCATTCTGCTCTCGTACCCAACTATGGTGGTGGAAACTGGAGGCGGGCTAGGTGTCCAGCGCTAGGGACAGGGCTGGGTAAATCGTGCTGAATACACCCTATGGTATACCACAGCTGTGAGAAGCAACAAACTATGCGTTCATAAAGCAACACTTAAATCATAGGGTAGAGTGGAAAAAGAACAAACTCCATACTTATAGCATAGTGCCACTTACATAACTTAAACATACACACACAAAACTACGTATTATCCAAAATCCATGTGTATTTAAGGACTTAACACACTCATTTGAGTAAGGGTAGGGCATGGAGTTCAGGGATAAAGTTGGGGGCCTAATTAAAAATCAAAATCATAAGGGGTCTTTTATAAGCTGAAGTTAAAAATAAATAAAGTGAGGACAACTTAAGCCTTCAGTCATTGAAGCCAAGACTTTCAGTCATAGATTACAGAAAAGCTGTGTTTGGGCACTGTGGGTCCCCAAGGAGCCATTCCCTTCTACAGCTTCTCCTGTGTGTGCCGTGTCCCCGTGCTGGCTGTGTCCGTGTACTGCAGAGTGCCCGAAGCCCGCCCCGGGTTGCATCATCCTATGCAGTCATGGAGCTTTTAATTCAGAGCTGGTGCCTTTTGACACATCAATCCTCAAACAGCTGTGGGCTTTATGGAGCAAGCAGATTGCCTCACGAGACTGATTTTCCTAGATAGTTTCATTCACATCCATTCAAAAGAACCCTCTTAGGCAAAATTATTTCTTCTCGATATATAACCATTCCAATGATACTTAGATGTTAGACACCAGTAACTGCTACCCATGATCTCTCTAGCCTTACCTCTAGTGAGGGACCTGTAGCCCTTAACACTGGATCATGCTTCCCTAGTGAAACTTCCTCCTTAGACCAGTGAGCTGAATTACATTGCTTTCCCACTGTATTCAATATCTATTGCTGTATTAACAAATTACAGTTGATTCTCATTTTCCACAGTAGTTATGTCCTATAAAGTCACCAAGAACACAGTTAGTGAATACTGATCCGTCGCTCCTGGGGTAACCGGTCAATACATAAGTTTGTTCTATGTGTTTTTCAGTTTAAAGATTTCTTATTTAATGTATATTTTTCACTTGATAACACTGAATTCACAGCCAACAACCTGAATATAACTCACGCCTGAATGAAGCTTCTGCAACAGGTGTTTTCTCCATAAGGCACGTCACAGCCTTCTTGCATTTAGGAATACCAAATAGCCCCTCATCACTAGCTTGGGGGCCATTTTAAACAGTGAAATCAACAAAAAGCCCAACAATGCAAAAAACAAAAACACAAATACAGGAAACTACATAGACTGTGAAAAGGATACTTGTTACTGAGAGCTGAAACAAGAAGACAGAGCCTCACCTTGTGTGACCTTAGCAGGGAGCGTGTATCTCAGGCCAAATTTTTCACTGCTCTGCACATACCTGTAAATGAATGTGAAAGTACTGAGTATTGATTTTAGGGATACAAATAAATTTTAGCAAGTAGGCAAATTTGCAAGTGCAAAATCTGTGAATAATGAAGATCGACTGTATTCCAAAACTTAGTGGCTTAAAACAACACACATTTATAATCTCAGTTTCGGTGAGTGAGAAATCCAGACATACCTTAGCTGGGTCCTCCGCGTCAGGGCCTCTCACAGGTGCAATCAAGGCGTCTCTAACAAGACACAATCAAAGTCCATCTGGGACAGAATCTGCTTCCACGCTTAACCTCATGATCATCAGCAGGATGCAGTTTCTCTGTGGTTGCTGGACTGAGCACCTCATTCCTTGCTGGCTGTTATCTAAAGGCTGCTCTCAGTTCTTTGCCTCATGGGTCCCTCCAGCACAGCAGCTTTTTTATATTGAAACCAATGAGAAAGACTGCTAGGAACTTACAAGTTTTTGCAACCTACCACAGAATTGACATCCTCTCACTGTTGCTCTATTCTGTTGGTTAGAGGTAAGTCACCGGCACAGTGGCTCATGCCTATAATCTCAGCACTTTGGGAGGCTGAGGCAGGTGGATAGTTTGAGCTCAGGAACTTGAAACCAGCCTGGGCAACATGGAAAGACCCTGTCTCCACAAAAAATATGAAAATTAGCCAGGCGAGATGGCACTTGCCTGCGGTCTCAGCTACTCAGGAGGCTGAGGTAGGAGGATCTCTTGAGCCTGGGAGGTCAAGGCTGCAGTGAGCCATGATTGCCCCACTGCACTCCAACCTGGGTGACAGAGCAAGACGCTATCTCCAAAAAGTAAAAATTTAAAAGAAGTCAGTCACTAGCTCTAGCCACACTGAAAAGGAGACTAGGACACAGGGTATAACTATCAAGAGATAGGGATGATTGAAGGCTACCTGGAAACTGTGCCCACCACACCCCCGATGCCTTCTACAAGTTCCTCTTTGAGCTCCTCTGTTTTACCTGTTAGGGAAGGTGTTTCTCGATGTTCAGATGGAGCCTTTTCTGCTGTTTCTCCATGACTTCAACTAGCACAACTCTTCAGATTATTCAAAGCCTGGTTTCAATCTCAGACTACAAACTCCCACTATCATTTCTCTGTGCCCCCTCCAATCTCTGAGGAGGGGGTTGGTAAATGCTCGCTTCCCCGAGCTGAAGAGACCATTTCTGTACTATCTCATTGTCTTTGAAATCACACATACTGGGATTCAACCTATTGGAAAGGGTCATCTCCTTCCCATTAATCCCAGCAGAAGACCCGGGGCTGCATTTCACTGGACCAAGTTAGCTGCTTGTCTATGAGCCAACCACTGCAACGAAAGGGGTGGATTATGCAGGCTTAGTTGGGCCTGGGTCGTATCTTTACCCTTGGAGAGAGAGAAGGGAATCAGCCCCAACCAAGCCATAGTGACTGAAGTAGGGGAGTGGTGTTTCTGCAAAGGAAAATTAGTTTTCAAAAAGAAGTGGAATTAAATACCAGGCAAGATCAACAGATTCCCAGTTAGGGCATCTGAGTTGGCCTTGAAGCCTAAGCAGGCTCTCAGCGGGGAACACAGGTGAGGTGTGGAGGGCATGGTAGGGCCCGAGAAAGACCGGCTCCAGAAGCAGCCAGCCGTCACTGTACAGAGGGGAGCCACTCCTGAGGGACCATGGAATGGCCAATGAGTTCTGAAGCAAAAATAGCCTCACTCCAATCCCCCACCTTCAATAGGTGGAGATATCTCATAAATGAAAAATGTAACACGGGAAAACACTTTCTCCAAACTGAGAATAGGGAAAGGGTCGATCCATTCACCTGAAGTTTGGAGAATATGATACCAGGAAAGGAGCATTGATCAAGCAGGAAAGAAAATGACCACTAAACTCAGCCCTGGATAATATTTACTTTCCTTATAGTCCAGGTACAGCTTCCATCCTCCCTTACCTTTCCTGTTCTCTTCAGTGAAAAATGATCTAAGAAATCAAGAATACCTGTCATAGCAGTATTCGCTGAAGAAATATCTGCTGACAACTAGAATGACTTTGAAATGGAATATCACTTAGGATATAAGTAAAGGAAGTACATATAGAAACTCTTGCTATGTTTCTAATTTTAATTTTTCCTCAAAATATGTATTCAAAAATTGTAGGCCACGCATGGTGGTTCACACCTGTAATTCCAACATTTTGGGTGGCTGATACAGGAGGATCACTTGAGCTCAGGAGTTCAAGACCAGCCTAGGCAAGATGGTGAGACCTTGCCTCTACAAAAAAAATAAAATAAAAATTAGCTAGGCATTGTGGCACACACCTGTAGGCCCAGCTACTTGAGAGGCTGAGGCAGGAGGATGGCTTGGGCCCGGGAGGTCAGGATTGTAGTGAACCATGATTGTACCCCTGCACTCCAGCCTAGGCAACAATAGAGCAAGACTCTGTCTCAGAAAAAATAATAACAACAGCAACAACAAAATTTTAAATGTAACAAGGGTTTGTTATAAAAATTTCAGACAGAGATGTGTGTAAAGGAAAGTCTCCTTGTATCATTCATTTGTTGTTGTGTTACAAATAACCCCAAAACTGAGTGGCTTAAAACAGTACCATTCATTCATTTTGCTCACTAATCTACAATTTGGGCAGGAATCAGAAGGAATAGCTCATCTCAATTCCAGATAGCATCTGCCAGGGCACCTTGGCTGGGGGTTGGAGGAACCACTTTCAAGAAGTCTGGCTAACCTGGATGGCAAGTTGTTTAAAATGTTAGCTACATTTAAAGCTATGATATCCCTGAAGGTAAATATTGTCCAGGTGATCTTAAAGAAAAATGAGAGTTGTAAGTAAAAGAAGTATAGCTTCCTCTCAATTGTTGAAATACAATTTTCAAAAAGTTAAAAACTTAGCCAGGCATGGTGGAGCCCCCCTGTAATTCTAGCTACTTGGAAGGCTGAGGCAGGAGGATTACTTGAGGCCTGGGAGGTCAGGATTGCAGTAAGCTGTGATGATGCCACTTCACTGTAGCCTGAGCAACAAAGTGAGACCTTGTCTCAAAAAAGAAAAAAGAAAGTTAAAAACATGACTTTCATGCAAAGTGAACACATGTTAAAGATTTGCTTCACTCATTAATTATGTTAAGTAAGATGTTAAGACTGGTCAAAAGAACAAAAATAGGAGATGTAACGTCGGGAATGTTCAAATGAATTACTTAATAGATGAATTTGGGTACTATCCAATCGAGCAGCAAAATGTCATCTTTGGAGTTATCATTTCTACCAGTGGAAATCAACTCTACCTCTACTCAACAATACTCATTTCTGGGGAGATTACCTCCATTCTTCAGTCTCCATCCATATACAGATGAAGTTGTCCCCATAGCAAGTCCTATTGTCCCAGATGGGTATGTAAGTCAGGCCTAGTCCAAAAAAAGCATCCCATTCTCCCAGTGACAGACTCAGAGATGGATATGTGACCCAACTGGAACCTGAAAGACACAATACGATTTGGCAGGGACTTTTGTGAGAGCCACCACATCTTTGGGGGCACTTGAATCTGGAAAGTTTTAGGTCTGAACTTGGCTGGGAGGCATCCTGCTACCACAAGAAGCCTGAAAATGAGGAAGCAGAGAAGAAGAGAGATGAACAACGGAGGGAAACAGCATCCTGATGGCTTTAACTCAGTCCCTGAATCAACTGTGCGGCCTGATTGCAGTCTTAACTCCAGACCTTTCTGTTATATTCGTCAATGTATTTCCTTCTTTCTTGTTTGCTGGTTTAAGCCAGGTAAAGTGACTCCAAATGACCCCTCACGATACAGGGGGTTCTCCAGCCCTGGTTTCTTCTTCCGTGTTAGCTCATTAAACATATATTCACTTCTCTGGGTTGCAGTTCCTCCTTCTGTAAAAAGAATAAGCGATACCTACTACGAAGAGTGATAAAGATTAAGTAAGTAATAAATATGATATACCTTCATAATACCATGATAAAAAGATGTCTATGCAATGCTTAATTTTTCTAAATTAGATTATATATGCTTCTAACCTCCTGCTATGGTCTGAATGTTGGCATTCCCCCAGAATTTGTGTGTTAGAACCTAAGACCCAGTGTGATGGTATTAAGAGTGGGTCTTTTAGGGGGTGATTAAATCATTAGGACTCCATCCTCATGGCTGGGGTTAAACTCTTATACAAATACTAAAGGGGGCCAGGTGCAATGACTCATGCCTGTAATCCCAGCACAGCACTTTGGGAGGCCAAGGCAGGAGGATCACTTGAGCCCAGGAGTCCAAGACCAGCCTGGGCAACACAGAGGGACCCTGTCTCTTTTTAATCTTTTTTTTTTTAAGTGCTGGAGGGGCCAAACACAGTGGCTTATGCCTGTAATCCCAGCACTTTGGGAGGCAAGAAGAGCGCTTGAGGCTAATGGTTTGAGACCAGCCTGGACACAATAGGGAGATGCTGTCTCTATAAAAAAAATTTTATAAACTAGCCAGGGGTAGTGGCTCATGCCTGCAGTCCCAGCTACTCAGGAGGCTAGGGTGGGGGGATCACTTGAGCCTGGGAGGTTGAGGCTGCAGTGAGTGGTGACTGCACCACTGCAGTCCAGCCTGGGCAACAGAGTGAGACCCTGTCTCAATAAAGTGCTGGAGAAAGCTAGCTGGGCTCTTCTGCTCTTCTGCCTTGTGCCATGTGAGGACATGGCAAGAAGGCCCTCGCCAGACACTGAATGTCAGTACCTTAATCTTGGACTTGCCAGACTCCCAAACTATGAGAAATAAATTTCTATTGTTTGTAAATTATCCACTGTAGTAATTTTGTTCTAGCAGCACAAGCAGGCGAAGATATCCCCATTTACTAGAATTAGAAGACTCCCAAATGTCAGTCACTGTGGGGGCTCTTTTAAGTGGTGAAATCTGTCACAAATTGCCTAGAAAATGTTGTCTGATCTTCGGCACATCATGTTTGCTATGCGGTTGTTCATTATGCAAGACCCTGTGGTCCATTCAAAGGCAGGTGGCTCCACAGGCTCTTTGACCTTTAGGGTATCTGGCAACTTTTACGTAGCTCCTGAGACCATGGTGTTTGATGTTCATTGCCCCCAGCAAACGTGTTTACTTCATCAAAAGTTCCTGCTGCCACACAGGATACTTCCTGATAGGAAACTGATGCTTGTGGAATTTCCTTCCACAGCTCCTCAAGTCCTTGCAGCATTGCTAACCTTGGGCAACTCCTTGTCTTTCAACTCAATCTCCAGACACCATACCTTCCAAGAAACACCCTGCCGAATTCACCTTCCGCACAGGGGCCTAGATAGATCTTTCTAACAGATGCCTTGCAACTTTGTTTCGGGCTGGGAACCACACATTTAAAAAAAAAAAAAATTAATAACCCAGAATAGCAGCCGTCAAGAGGACCCTCAGTGAGCTCCACCTCCTGGTATTCATGCCTTAGTGTAATCCCCTCCTTTGAGTGTGGGTTGGACCTAGTGACTCACTTCTAACCAACAGAACACAGCGAAAGTGATGAAATGTCACTCCCAGAATTAGCTTATAAAACCACAGTGACTTCAACCTTGCTTCCCCTGTCTCTTTTCCTCC